CAAGACGTCAGTCCATTTAGCAAATCAAGTCCAAACTTCCACGTACACGCTCCCTCATTCCATCCATTTCAGGTTCGGTCTACTGCTCCCCATTGCTGGGGTGGTGAAAGCAGGACTCCAAAGAGACAAATCACAAGCGCGTCCCCCTGACGAGGGCCAGGAGATCTCACTAACCGCTGAACCCAGAATTGGACATTCTGTCCCCTTAGCTCTCTCAGCAGGCCACCTGTCCCTTGCTTCCGGGACATCCATTTTATCTTGGATGATGAAGGGTAAGAGTAAGAGAAATCCAGAGTTCCAACAGGGCAACAGTGGTCCTTTTATCAGCATGAGGAATTTGATATTCAAAGAAGGCTGCTACAAACTGAAAAATCTTTATGTAATTAATGAAATGTGTGTGTGTGTGTGTGTGTGTGTGTGTGTGTGTGTGTGTGAAATAAAACATGCCTTTGGGAAACTATCAATTTTTCCTCGGGAAAAATGCTATGAAGTTATCACTCTATATTAAATTGCTTCCCCATGACCAAGTATATTTTATTATTAACAAAATTACCTTTCCAAGTGCTGAATGGCCTACTGCATTTAAAGCCAGTGATGTTACCACTCGGGTTATAGGGAAATCATACAGGAAAATCAATCTGCTATTGCGGAGGGATTTGGTTTTTCCAAATACCCCCATCAGCTGTTACAGATGGCGGAGCCTCTCCCCCTCCTTTGGAATCTTAGAAAGGCTCTTTGTTCTTTGAATCAGACACAAACCCATGACCGGAAGGCACAGGTGTGTATGGGAGCTCTTATTCCGACTACAAACGCTCAGGCCTCTCCACTTTCCGTTACCAAACGCGAATCAAGAAGGGAAGTGGTCACCATGGGGACCCCGACCTGACCTCACCAGCAACGCGTCTGTGGCAGCTGCCGAAGATAAAGTGTCTTTGGAGGAGCAATCCTGCTGGGCTCCTGTCACTCCTCCACCCAACACCCGCTCCCCACCCTCTCAGGCTGGAAGTGGTCCTCCCGGGCACCTGTCATCATCAGGAGCAGGAGGCCACGCTGGCAGCAGCTGCTACAAAGACACTGAGCAGAGATGCCAGAGGGCAGGCTGGGTGCAGGAGCGCCTGGATGAAACATGTGCCGAAGGAGAACCCTGGCCAGCTCTGGCCCTTGGGTTCCACTTGGTCTCTGACAAATACACACTTTTGATCCTTTACTGAAGAGGGCAGGCTATTCCTCAAACACAGGCCTTTTTTAATGTAACTTGTGACTACTAGCAAGTTCTGGACGGAGCCAGCCAGTCTTTAGCTGTATCCTAAGCCAGTCCACTCAATGCCCTAAATTACACCAGACACCCATCAGATTTCCAGTCTTCTGGAAGCTTCTCTCACGGGGCTTGGGACCAGGAAAAAGCAGACTAGCTCTCCCCGCCCACCGCCTCCCACTGGGGAGGGCAGCAGTGGTGGGATCCACATCTGAGCTGCCTCCAAAGAAATGCGCCCTCTGACACCCAACGTCCTGAGTGGGCGAGGGGCCCGTGGGTTGAAATGCTAGCATCTCACTATGAAACGGTGGGCAGTGGTTCCACTGTCCTGGCCCCTCAGCTAAAGGTGAAACTGAAATTGTTGATTTTCATGCATTCCATGAATGGTTCTTTCATGCATTGCCAGAGTCATTCATGGTGAAGCCAAAAGAATTTTTTTATCTGCTCTATGACAAAGAAACAATAGGACTATTTTATAAAATACTGTCTGCTCTGAACACAGACTCACACACAAATTCTGACTTAACATCTGTGGGCCTATGTTTACATTCCCGGCAGTGAGTAGGCCGCCAGCAGGATCAGAGTATGTGCCCATCCCTCTCCTCCTTCCCTTAGTGTGACCTGGTTTTTGAACTAGCAAGTCATGGGGTGAACCATAACGTTCTTCCCCTTTTCCCGATCGCAGGTCTGCTCTCCTTCATGAGGCTACTTCTTCTGCTCCCATTGCCTATAAGACTTCATGTTTCAACTGAACTAACTAGAAGCACACACAAGACCAGCATTGTTGAGGTTTCCACTGGCATTCTGCCTGCTGGGAGGTCACAGACACCCCTACTCCAGCTCGGGGGACAGGAAAGAGCCAGCAAACACTTGTCTGGGGCTTGCATTCAGGTTTGCTGGTTTTTTTCGTTTTCTTGTCTGCAGATGACTACTTAGTAGCTCTTCTTTTTTAAATTCTTCGATTCTCTGCGTTTTTAGCCGTGAAATGCTTAAGTAGACATTGCTCATATAAGCCCCTCTGCTACAGAGCCCGGTGGTGATGATTTCTTAAAGGCCTGTGATAAACACAGAAACCACCTGAAACACAGAGTTGAGAGGAGCATAATTTCAGTGTTCAGTGGCCCAGAATGTAGTGGCCTCCGGTCTATCTTCAGAGAATCTCAGAAACTCCTAGAATATATAAGCAGGGGTGCCTGTCTACCCCCCACACACTCTCGCAGTTGAAGTTAAAGTTGGCTCAGAACAGGAGAGAAGGCTGGAGGGAAGCAGCCAAATTCCCAGTGAATTTGGGCAATGTCTTGGGCTGAATTGGATCAGGAGCTTGGCATTTTCAAACAATCCCTCTAGGTGTCTAGAGGCGATTTATGTAATTATATCGGCACATACATTTTTCCATTTCAATATAACAAAACCACAAAAATCCTGCTGTCACAGACAAATCTTTAGTACTGTAAAAGAAATACACATAAACACACAGATTCCAAGTAGAGGCGTGATTCTCCGATAGCTCTCTTCTCAATCAGGAGGAGTGAAGACCTGAGGGGAAGGGATGTGTGTGGGGGGGGGGGAGGGGGGAAGGCCTGCAGGAGGGGGAAAGAAGGGGAAAATGGGACTTATCTATAATACTATCAGTAATAAAACTTTTTTTTTTTTTTTAAAGAGAATGCATTTCAGATCAAGGAGAAGGGAGGCATCGAGCTCTTGTTTGCCAACTCCCTCCTTCCACGGAGGCATAAGTCTCACGTAGACAAGCTGCTGTGGTAGCCAAGGCTCCTCCATGCTGCTTTGCTATTTGGAGCTCAGTCACATGTAACTGACCGCAGTCCTTGGCACATGTCTGTGGGCAGATGGCTGCTTGCAGCTCTTCGGCCGAGTCCAGCCGAGAAGGCCAGCCTGAGGAGGCCGACTTGGCAGAACTCTGAACCTGAGCTCCTCTATCGAGGCCAAAGGGTTCGTACTACTCTCTAGAACACATGTGTCAAACACAAGGCCCGCGGGCCAAATCCGTCCCGCCAGGCCTTGCAATGTGGCCCGCACCGCGCTGTCATCACTGCACTCCGCTGCGTTTCCATTACAATGACAGTTTATGACTGTTCAGTAAACCATTCGGCCCGCGATTTAGGCTGGATTTTAGATTTTGGCCCCTTCTCTGATTGAGTTCGACACCCCTATGATAGAAGGTTTGCGCTTATGGAACACGTTCAATGTACGTTTATATTAGGAAAACAGAGTGAAGACAACAAAAGATCATTCCTGTTCCTTTTTGATTAAGCAAAAGAAACTGAACACAAAGCGGAGTTGACAAATGCTCAGCCGAGGATCCCAGACGGGACCCACAAGCCACGAGTGCCAAGTGAAAACACACCGAGCGGAATGTCAGAGTCAAATAAAATGTGCATTAAAATTAATGACACGGGTTTAACGGCGTGCATAATCACAGGGAGTGCTCCGCTAAGTGGGAAGAGTGGCAAAAGACATACGGTACCAACCTCGCAGATCAGCTGCTCTGACGGCCGGCACCCTGCCCATTCCTCCTCTACCTCCCACAGCACAGCGTCCAGGCCTGACCAGAGAGGCCCGGAGGCCACCACACGCATTTCTCCTCTGTGTGCCTTCCAGAGGCCAGAGCCAGGGCGCGGGAACACGGCATACAGGCCTCCAGGCATAATGCCTGCTCAGAGGCTCAGCTGAGCTCCTCAGAGCACCACAAACAAGCCTTTCACTGGCATTATCCTGGCACCCAGCACAGAGTCAGAACCAAATGGTTAGACGTCTGAGCCCTGGGAGGACTGGGGCGTTTGTGTGCTGAGATGAGGAGAAGACTGGTGTGGTAGCGATGAGTCTCAGAAATGTGCCTTCAAGTGCACACGGGCACATGGGCTTGCCTTCCTAATGTCTAGGACCCAAAGAAATGGGAGTTTTAAGGAACATGAGGGTATTGTGGTCCGAGAGAGAGAGAGAGAGAGAGAGAGAGAGAGAGAGAGAGAGCAAGAGAGAGAGAGGGAGAGAGAGAGAATAAAACTAGAAAAGGTGCCCCTCAAAAAAACCACTTCTTGCTTCAAGAACAGGCCTTATTCTTCTCGCCAGTGGAAAAATTATTTTTCTTTTTGTATCTATATAAGGTAATGAATGCTAACTCAACTCACTGTTAATCATTTCACAATGTATGTAAGTCAAGTCGTTGGGCTATATCTTAAACATGTCCAAGGCTATATATCAAGTATTTCTCAAGAAAACAGAAAGAAAAAGTAATTAAATGGCATAATGAATGCAAAGTTCCTGGCATGTGATGAACACACAGCAAATGCCACTGGTGGTGGTCCCACCCTCCCCAATCCCCACATGGCTGGGCCAGTGGTGGGAGCAGGCACCCACAGCGGTCTGGCTCTCCGAGGCCACTCCCGGGGAGAGCCCAGGGTCATTTGTTTGGAACAGAGGGTCAGGGTGCAAGAATGCTTACAGCCTGCTCAGGATCCTCGCTTATTGGAACTGACAGAGTTCACTGTCAGCCACTTCTAAGATTAGAATGGACAGAAAAGGAACAGAGAGATCTCATATGATCCAGTTAAACAATTTAATCACTTACCACAGAATATCTTCAAGGTGGTAGTCAGGTCCTTTGCTGAAACATTAAGAGCAGCACTGTCTGGTCTGGGTGTGTGCGTGCATGCGTGTGTTCGTGTGTGTGTGTGTGTGTGTGTGTGTGTGTGTGTCAGAGAAAACGAGACAAGACAAAGCAACTCACCAATTCCAGGCACTGCCTGTGGCCGTAGGCAGCCGCGTAGTGGATGCTATTGTAACCTTCCTTGTCCCGGAGAGCTGGGTTGGCGTCATTTTGAAGCAGAAACTCAAGGCATCTGTAAGTGCAGGAGGATGAAGTTATTTCAGAGAACATCTCTGGATCCAAAGAGATGATGAATGCGAATTCCCTCCTATTATGAATGCTCCACAGAGCACCATGTGAGTTTACGTATTTCTTTAAAAATTCGACAGCAATGAGCATTTGTGTCCTGGAAGATAGGTATGTATGTACATATGTACGTACATATGTATATATATGTATGTGTGTGTGTGTGTGTGCATTTTCTATAGCTTTCTTTATTTCAGCTTAAAACTGCCCTTCTAGAATTCAGGAAAGCCTGGAGGAACAAGATAGTCATTCGGTTCTTTTTCTTCTCATCCTAAGATGGAGACCCGCTCTGTCATCAAGACCACTGACTAGTCGGGGTTAGAGTTCCATGTTCAAAGGACAAAGTGTCCGGGCCATTGCAGCAGGGCCAGCCTCAGAGAGGGGGTTCTTTTCCACCTTGCTATTGGAGACTCCAAGATCAAAAGGTTGAAAAATGAAAGTTAAGAAGTATAAGACAACAACAAAAAAGAACCAAAGGAGAGCCTAAACAATAAAAGGATTAAACGAATGGGTAAGAGTCAGTCACCACAAACGAAGAAAAAGACTCCAATTGCACCATTAGGAATATAGGCTAAAGCAAATTATAACTAGTACATTTTAAAAGCCTTTCATGACAAAGCTGTCATTTTTCTGAAAAAGCCACAACCCTTGGAATAGGTTAGAGGAAGGCTTGTGGCTCCCCTTTCCAGAAGAACCCCAAACTCCAGGACACAGGCCTCGAGGACGAAACCAATTCTGTCCAGGGTTTATCGCAAGTGGAACAATCCAGCTGGGGAAAGAGGGAATTAGTCGGCCACCCCACTTGCTCTGTAATTTCAATTTAACCTTATTATTATTTTGATTCTCACCTGAGGAGTGAGGATATTTTTCCCACTGATTTCTAGAAAGAGTAGAAGGGAGTAAGGTGGGAGGGAGAGAGAGAAACATTGATCTCACAGAGACATATTGATTGGTTGCCTCTCACACCCAACCTGACTGGGGTGGGGATTGGACCTGCAACTCAGGTACGTGCCCTTGATGGGAATCGAACCTGTGACCCTCTGGTGCGCAGGCTGAGGCTCAAATCACCAAGCAATGCCAGCCAGGGCTCAATTTTATTTTTTTGGCAGTGGGACCAACAATTCCTTCACAAAACCAAGCAGATTCAACTTCCTATCAAATTAAAATTGTAAGATTCCAAAGCCTATACTTTAAATAAGCACTTCCAAAGGAAAATTTCTATAGTGTGCAGAAGAGCTATAAAGTGACATTTACCTATCTTTTTGGCAAATGCCAGAAAGAGAAAAATAGCCAAAACCGGTTCGGCTCAGTAGTAGAGCGTCGGTCTGTGGACTGAAAGGTCCCAGGTTCGATTCCGGTCAGGGGCATGTATGTTGGTTGCAGGCCCATCCCCGGTAGGGGGTGTGCAGGAGGCAGCTGATTGACGTTTCTCTCTCATTGACATTTCTAGCTCTCTATCTCTCTCCCTTTCTCTCTGTAAAAAAAATCAATAAAATATTTTTTTTTAAAAAGAGAAAAATAGATCACAGAGACTGTTTAAAATGATATTTTAATTTCTAGAAAAACTGAAGAAAGACAGGCATTTTTAAAACCAAATACCTCCACATCACATGATTTATCCATAAAAATACTCCATAATAATAAGGCAAGCTATTCCTGGAGCCCTGAATCACACTGCCTTTGTGACTTGGGCCTCAAAAGGAAGTCCTCTCTGATTTGGGTAATAAAACGCCCGGGGGCAGGATTGCAGGTCTGACTCACTGTAAACCGAATTTGGCTCTTTATATAAAACATTCAATAGGAATGGCCTTCTATGGATGCACAACCCCCAGCTTCTGAAAATCTATTGACCAATTGAATATGAAATTTGGAAAACACTTGGAATTGCTCCCAAAGAGTTATTTAATCCAGAATATACCTGACCTAAACTACCAACAGTGCTGCTGAAATAACAACAGTTGGATAGAATTCGAAAATTCTATGTGTTTTTTTATGGGACAGTGATTAAACTAGTTTTAACTGGAAATGCTTATCTTTTCTCCTCCCAGGCAATTCTGACATCTAAGGTGCAACATCAAGAGATGCACATTAGGCCAGGGGTGTATCTGGACCAGGGCGGGGAGAGGCAGAAGGGGAGCGGGGATGGGATAGGCGGAGTAGCCTCTTTGCATAAAAGGGCTCTTGGGTGGCCAGTTGGGCATCAGGTGGCCACCTCTCCCTTCTCTCCTGCCCTCCCTCTCCCCCAGCTGTAAGCAGTCTGCTCTGGCCTGGGCAAGCCTGCATTTCCTAGAGAAGGAGCACTTGCCGAGAAGTCTTAAAATTCCTGTCTTTACTATGATCATTTTTCAAATATATTTTTTATTGATTTCAAAGAGGAAGGGAGAGAGAAATAGAAACACCAATGATGAGAGAGAATGATAGATTGGCTGCCTTCTACACGCCCCCCACTGGGGATCGAGCCTGCAACCTGGGCCTGTGCTCTGACCAGGAATCAAACTGTGACTTCCCGGTTCATAGGTTAATGCTCAACCACTGAGCCACGCCAGCCAGGCTGTAATATGATTATTTAAATTGTGGAGAATTAGAGTAAAACCTGGCCCTTCTGCTTTGTTCCCACCAGTGTTTCCCATTGCCACCAGTAACAAACGTATGTCCCCGAACCTGCACCAGAGCCACCCCCTAACTACATCCCTCCACTTCCTGTAGACAACGTCTCACTTGTAACTCTAGACCCGGGTTCTGACAGCAGGGAGAGCCCACCGGGCAGGAGGAAGGCCCCAGAGTGGAGGAGGAGAGAGTAAGCCAGTCAGGGGCTGTGTGTGTGCAGCCTTGGGGCACCACATCCACTGGGTCCCAAGACAGAGTGTGGGCACCGTTCACTCGTTTGCTCATCTATTTAACAGCTACTCGCTGATCACCAGCCATGTGCTGGTCCCCACACTGGGCAGCACAAGCTTGTCCCTGTGACCTTCGTGCAGGAAGGACTCCCGGGGACGGAGCACAGGGCTTCCCAGGAATCACTACCCCTGGGGGTGGCAGCCACCCCCACCCCATCACAGGCAGAGCCGGACAGAGGCAGGGGGAGGAAGGGCAGGATTAGGGGCTGAGGGCAGGGGGCTGTGGATGCTGGGGTGTGTGTTGGGGATGAAGAGGAGAGCACCACGGTGTATTTCCCGCTGAAATCTCTTCGCATGTATTTATAGAATCCGCGAAGCAGTTATCCGCAGGCCCTACAGAGAGCCTAAGGCCCCTGGCAGGATGTCAGGGTGTCGCCCGAGGCACCTGGTACCTGGCAGAGTCAGAAATGATATTTCAGACACGGCTGGTTCCAAAGGCCGCTGACCAATCAGAGCCCTGGCCGTGACGAGGCTCACAATTTTAGAAAGAGAGCCCTGGGCGAGAGTGGCACAGCTGAGGGATGTATTAAAAGGCCAGTTTCTTCTTCGTTAATGACAAGCCCGCATCACCTCCTCCAGACCCCAGGTGAAACCCCAATACGGGGGCTGGCAGTGGCACCTCGGGGAGCTCACTTACAGAGCAGCCTCCTTCTCCTTCACGTCGCGGGCTCTCTCGAGTTCCTCTGAGTTTTCGTGGGCGTTTCCTAGGGTGGTCTTACTTCTCAGCGTGAGGAAAAGAAAAAACAAAACAAAACACTACAGTTACTAGTGTTTCAATGGCCAAGTTGCTAATGATTTCGGTGCTATTTAAAGCTCAACGAGTTTCTCCCAACCCAAAGAAATAAGCACTACAGTCTTCATTGAGGATCTATAGTGTGTCTTCCCAAAAATATGTGTACACACTTTAATGGCTGGCGATTCACTTGGTTTTCACTCCTTTCCAGGTTTAACTGGTTTGAAATAATGAGGGAAGCCAGGCGAAGCTATGAAACAAAGAAAATCTATCCTCAAGTGCCACTCACTTTTTTTTATGGGGGACAGAAAAGATAAAGTTTCAGTACAACGCCGGCATCCGTCCACGAACTGAGGGCACACAACTACGGAACCAAATGACCCGTGATGCCTGCGTTGTCAGCAGTGCCTGGGCCAGAGCGGTCATCAGTTTGAACACAGGCATTGCCCTGACCAGTTTGGCTCAGTGGATAGAGCGTCGGCCTGAAGGGTCCCGGGTTCGATTCCGGTCAAGGGCATGTACCTTGGTTGCCGGCACATCCCCAGTAGGGCGTGTGCAGGAGGCAGCTGATTGATGTTTCTCTCTCATCGATATTTCTGACCCTCTATCCCTCTCCCTTCCTCCCAGTAAAAAAAATCAATAAACTATATTTTTATTAAAGGAAAAAAGAAAAGAAAAGAAAGAAAACAGGCGTTGACAAAAAAAATTATTCATTTCTCTAGATTCTTTTAAATTTTGAAAAGTGAACTTTATAGTCACTCGAAGTGCAAATGCATTCGGGGAGGACACCCTGTGTATGAAGCCCGGTTCTCTCCAACGCTCTCCAGTGCCGACCTAGAGTCCACTCCACAGCACGAGGCAGCGGACAAGGCCGCCGAGAGCCGTCCCTCCGGAGGAGGCCCTGGTCCTTACGTCTGTGAGAAGGAGCTTGGCCATCACGGGCACCTCTCCCATCTTTTCCCCGGAACCACGCTGCTTCATTCTGCTTCCCACTCCCAGCACCCAGACTCCTAATGCGGCCAGGGCACCGCTTCCTGCCCGCAAGCTCCTGGGAGAGCATCCACACCCACGTGGAACAGCGTGCCTGCCTTACACACGTGACACCGCCTCTGAGGCTCCTGGGCTGCTGCATGGATGGCCATCTTCCACGCGAGACACGCATAGCAGCACGTGTAAGTATCACAGACAATGGGGCATTGAAGGGGTGACAATGAAGACGGCAGCAGGTGGCAAAATAAAGGACAACAGAGTTCTGAATGGACTGAAAACCTGGGTGTGACAGCCCCCCTTGGCATCCCACCCAAAACAGAGGTGTGACTGTGCAGTGACATGAAGTCATCATGCTCCGAGAGAAAGCAGAATGGGAAGTGGCGGGTGGGGAAGGGGACGAAGTGTCTCTAACGCCGTTGGTCTGGGTGAGAGATGCTGAGTCCCAGTATCCTTGAGGCAGGATGAAGGAAATGAGCCCCCCACTCCCCTCCGGCTCCCCTGCCCCAGGGGACGCATGGACAGGCTGTCCGTACTTTCTGTCCATGTCGGAAGCCGCCGCGTAGTGCAGAGCTGTCCGGCCCCAGTCGTCGGTCTCGTTCACGTTGGCCCCCGTGGTCACCAGGGCCTCGATGCAGTGGAAGTGGCAGTTGGCAGCGGCATAGTGCAGAGGGGTCCTGGAAGACAGGGGGCGAGGCGTGACCTCCTCAGGCCGCACACAGACCCGGGAGGGAGGCTTCCTAGGGGTGCGGAGGCCGGGAGGCGCCTCTGGGATGGTGAATGGCAGGTAAATGGCAGAGAGGCGACAGACACAGAGGCAGCAGACAAGGCCGTCCCCCCGCAGGCCTGCCTTTCCCCTACTCATGCCTTTCCTGGTGCAGGCCGCTGTCACTGCCATCCCTCTGAGCCTCCTTATTGCGAATCAAACATCCATGGACTTTCTAGCTGCTCTGAAGGAAGAACTAGGCTTTCTTAGGCCCGATACCCATATATGACAACCCCATCCTACAGCTCTGGTCTTCCCTCCCCCGACAAAGTCTTTGTGTGAAGCTGAAGACCTCCCCGAGTGGGTCCCGATCTACCTTCACGGGGTGTCTTTCTCTTTCCCCTAGATGAGCCCATTATTGAATCCAAACGAAATGACCTTAGGTTTTCCCTGTCCTGTTCACACTCCCCTCTACTCTGCCACGTGGCTCTCTTCCCTGGGATGCAGCAGGGAGCAGCATTCCACCCCTCAGAACCCCACTCAATCAGAAGCTCTCTCTCTTTTGTCTGAGATCGCTGAGCGTCTGTTTGGCCTCTCTGGAACTCTCACCCCGTGCTGCCCTGATGTTAGCTGTTGGTGTCGCCTCGTCTTCTCCACTGAACTATGAGGTTCATAGGAAGAGCAACGCACATGGAATCCGGAGCCCTGGCTTCCGGTCTGGACAGATCTTCAGGCCAGACCCAACCACATCCTCCCCTCAGCCCCGGTGTTGTCCTGCTGGCTACAAGGGCCTCGGGTCCACTTGAGTTCTGAAATCCCCTTCACGTTGCTAACTCGTTTAGCTTCTCTGGGCTCCGTTTTCTCATTAATTAAAAAGGGTAGTAAGCATCTCCAGGTACCTCATGGAGTTACTATGAGAAGCCAAGGGAGTGACATGTAGAAAACACAGCCGCGTGGAAATCATACCGCAGAGCAGAAATATAAGGTTTTATATTACTTATTTTTAGTCCTCAATTATTTAACAGTCCATCTGGTGTTCCTAGACAATTTTCAGGGGATGCTAGCCAAACAGATTGCTAGAAATAGAGTAACTTTTTGTCAAGTGCCATTTATCCATTTTCAAGTACTATTTTACATTTTGGAGGCAATTTATGGGCTCTTTGACAACTTGATTTACTCCTTTTTAGTCCAAAAAAGGGAAATTATAAATATTTTACATGTTGGATTGCTTATGGTTTTATTGCTTTGTTGGCGTTTTGCTCCAAGGACTTCCTTCTGAGAATGGAATCTCCCCAGCTAGCTCCCCCTATTTACCACGACAACATCACATGACAGCATCACATGACAGCATCACATGACTTCCAGATGGACTGCTCCCTGCTGCTTTCATTTAGGCACTGGAAGCAGAGTCCCCTGTTTACATACCTCCCACACTTGTCCTTTTTGTGGAAATCCGCTCCACTGCTCTGCAAGAGTTTTATACACTCCACGTTACTGGAAAGACAGAAAACATCGTAAGGGGGCGGCCGTGACCTGTGGGGCTCGCTCAGGAAGACCTGTGTCCCGCAAAGTGCAGGTGGAGGGAAACCACAGTTCCAACTTTGCTTCTAACCATAACGTGAGCACACAGCTAGGCTGTCGTAAGGACCTACAGTTATTTTTTTCAAAGCTGAACAATCAATGCATGAAAGAGCATTGATGAAACATTTTCAATTCCACAGCAATGGCATTTAGTGATTCTTATATGATTGGACCTTCCCGTGGTGGTCTCATTCTGAATCCTAAAATTCTCTTCCGAAACCATCAAGAGTGTGGGAAACAGCCTTCCACACCTAGGACCAAGTCACCTTCCAATGACGAGCCAGACCGGAGAGCATTACCCTTCCTCACGGCAGAATGAACTGGCCACGGCCACCATTTCGGACCCAGACACTCCCTAATGGAAAACAGAGCAGCTGCTTTCCCTGCCTTTGTGATCTCGGGAAGTGCATGTGCGGAGCCACGGCCGAGAAGGATGCGTGGAGTGATCTTCCAACACCCCTTTGTCACCCGCAGCAGCAATAAATCATGTTTAGTGGCGAGCAAAGCACCCGCCGAAGTGAATTTTCCCATCGAAGGGCATGTAGTTAAAGATTAATTCTAATAGGGGTTTCAGACATGGATTCAGAATGGTGTGCTGCTGCTTTCTGTACAGGCCTGATTTTTTTTTTTTTTTTTTTTTTAATGTGGGCATTAGAGGAGACAACCATCCATCATTGTCCTAACCTTAGAATGCTAAGAAGTGGCCTGGGATTTACTGTTTTATTATCATTTAACTAAGAAAAATGATCGCGTTCATGATTAGCCGGAGCAGGGCTCTCCCCACCCCACATCCACCCATCAGAGCCACCTTTCTCAGAGAACTGGCTGTTTTAGCCATAAACGTGAGCACCTTGGAGACTGTTCTGAGCTGGGGCAGCCTGCCCGCTGACACAAAGCACCTGTCCTTCCTGCGTGAAGCCAGAGGCTCAGAGGCAGACAGATCCCAGGTGTGTGGCTCATGGAGCTCACGTGATCTGGGGGAATGAGGTGGGAGAAGGAGGTTCTTCACACAGACAATAGTGTGGTAAAGGCCTGGGGGGGGGGGGCAGGTGGGCTAGAGGGGATCAATGGGGAAGAAAGGGGGACATATGCAATACTTTCAATAATAAAGATTTTTAAATAAAAATGGTAATACAAAATTATGAATATAAAACTAGATTTCAGATTTCAGAAGGAAACCATGCAAATAAGGGGCCCTATAGCTTCAGTCAACCCACTTCTAATATACAGATAAGAGGAGCAGTGTTGTTGGTTCTCAAGGATTAGGAAGTTGACTAAGAACCAACATCTTACCCAAACAAAGCCACCTGAGAAAGGCTAGGTTTGGCTGATGTGCGGTCATACATCAAAATATATTGATGAGAGCCTTAACCTAGTCACTGATATCAAAAGGAGTATATCTGATGAAAAAATACCTTTCCAAAAAAAAAAAAAAAAAAAGGCAAAGGTTAAACTTCTTTCTGATCCTTTGGGTTTTCTTAAGCGTTGTTCACATTCAACTGCTACGAAGGCTTAAAAATAAGGACCAAAGTGTCTGTAAATGAACTCAGTCTTGGATTCCCTCGATCAAATTACTTTCTTTCGGTGTAGGGAGTACCAAGGAGATGTATATTCTATAGGGTGAAAATTTACAATTAAAAAAAAAAATGGAAGGAAAGAAAATAAAGAGAGAATGTAAAACAAAAGAAAAACTATTTCTAGATGAGATGGGCTAAAATTTTCTCTGGAAGGACAATAACGCAAATAAGTCTGGAAACGCAACCCCGTGATGTTTGGTGTTGGTAGAAATGGTTCTGACCCATTTCACTGAGGAAACGGCCTTAGAACCACAGTCCACTGACGTCCAGTGAGATGCACTCGTTGTTAAGAAACGGAAATAACAACTGAAATTGCTCACTACTCACCCTCCTGCAGCAGCGGCGTGAAGGCACGTTCTTCCAAACTTATCTGGGGTGTCTATGCCAAAGCCTGCAGACAGCACGTGCTCATTACTAAACAAGGACACTATGCTATGCTTTTGTCCTAGTTAAACCACAAGAAACATTGCAGAGACAGAAAAATCAGTTAGTAGAAAAACCAGAATGCAAAGCAAGAAAGAGGTTGTCATGGAAACAAAACGAATGGGAACTGCTCAAGCTTGGCGATTTTATAGGAAGAACCGGGAAGGCAGGGAGAATTTATCTTCCCGTTCAGCTCTGGGTGAGCCACCGCCCCATATTTCAGCCCCAGGACAGACATTTATGGGAACCCATTGGAGGTAAACAGGGCAACAGCTAGGCGGACGGGACACACGGAGGAAACACGGGAGGTAAAGCAGCGATCCCAACATGCCAGCATAGAGAGTTTCTTAACGTCTGACCAGCTGCCAGTGGGTGTGAGGTTTGGGAAACGTGCTTTCATGCAGGGGTGTTTTGTAGATATGCCAAAAGCAGTGGAAGCAGGATCAGCCATGGGTCAAGTCCTTAAAGGGGTAAAATGCTTCTGGAGCATCTGCTGACTGAATTCATAAACAGCCTTTGCCTTGCAGAGCTCCATGGCCTTTGAATAGATGGAGGTTGGCAGAAGCAGTGATAAGAAAGATCAGCAAGGCTCCAAACCAGAAGGGATTTCTTGGTTCCCAATAGGCCCGCGTTAAAAAAATAAAAAAATAAAAACCAGACCTAATTGGAGGGGATCAGCCATGGTGGTTTCTCAGAGCCCACGGAGTGGGAAGGCCATGTGACATTTTCTACTGTCAAAATAGGGGCGAGGGGTGGGGGGGAGTATGAAATGCTAAGCTACCACTGTAAGCTTGAAAGGTGTTTTCTCCCTTCATGACACACGCTCTATGAGCAGTGCCCACTGCGGCCTGTCTCTGACTCTGGATCACAGAGTCAATAACCTTAATAAACAGACAGAACTCTCATTCGGGGACAGCAATGCTGACATTCCGGCAGCGACAATGCCCAGGGCTGCTGGGAGCTGCCCAGAGCAGGTGACAAATGAGCGACACGAAGCACAGGCAGCGATGACCAGACACGGGAGGCCACGTGGCTCATGCAGGACACACCCAGGCTTCTCGCTGGCGATGGAGGTACTCACCCGACGACAACAGCTTCCGGCAGCAGTCGGAGTGCGCGTTCAGGGCAGCTAAGTGTAAGGGGAACATGCTATGGATCCCACACCTGAGGAGGAAGAAAACAGAGCAGCTCACGGGAACAGCTCGCCGGGGCCCATGCAGAAGGGCGATGACCTTTCCAGGTGTCCTTTGCCCAAAGCCAAGTCCACACACCTCGCTCAGGGACTCTTGGTTGAAATAATTTTGCAATTCTTCCACTCGAGAAAGAATGATGCACTCATTGTCTACCTTAAAGTCCTGCACCTAAATCAGAAGCAAAAACCCCTAATAATGTGAAGGAAATGTTTCATGTAAACATTATGTGAATCTTTACATTTAAAATTAACTTCCTTTTCTCTTTTCTTTCATGTGAGCAATTTTATATCTTATTCATCCATCCATTCATCTGTTCAACACTTTCTAAGTATGAGATACTATGCTAAGTGCTAGAGATAAGACAAACTCTCATCTTCGAAAACAACCTTCTTTATTTCCTGAATTAATAAACAAATAGTTAGCTCTAGCCGGTTTGGCTCAGTGGATAGAGCACTGGCCTGCGGTCTGAAGGGTCCCAGGATCAATTCTGGTCAAGGTCTCATTCTGGTCAAGCGCACATGCCAGGTTTGTGGGCTCAATCCCCAGTGGGGGGCGTGCAGGAGGCAGCTGATGAATGATTGTCTCTCATCATTGATGTTTCTCTCTTTCTCCCTTTCTCTTCCTCTCTAAAATCAATAAAAAGGAAACATAAACAAATAGTTATTATTGACCTATTATGCGCCAAGCACTTGACTAAAAGTCAAGCATGGCTGTATTATTGAAAATACCATTTCGGTAAGAATAAAAACAGGTTACTTTTTGCAGGTAAAATGCCATCTTCCTAACAGACTGTTATCTTTGCTCAGGACCCACAGCAGGATTCCAGCCATAGAAGCGCAGCTGAGAGTCGCAAACGTGATCTTGAGTCTATTTCATAACCCTAGCAGGCTTCCCCTGACAGCGCTCCAGAAAGAATCTGCAAAAGCACTTTTTAGACAGATTCTTCCACCACAGCACAGCCCCAGGATGGGCCCCTGGGGGACAGGCAGCTCCTGACGGCAGCACCTTCTGCCTCCAGGTTAAAGCCTCCTCTTCCCATCACCTCTCCTCCAACCAGGACCCCGAGCCGTGTGCTGAGCTGCAGTTCATAAGGAACAGCCTCATCGGGAAGTTCCCGTGCACTTCCAAGCATTTACAGCTTTAGTGGTCGTTGCTCATAACATCTCACTCTATTCGAATAACAGATTACAGACTTTGTAAGTCCTCTGCATAGCACAAGCAAGGTCATCTATTTACACCTGTGGAGACATTACCTAAGATGCTTCTCTGGCACCAGTGGCCTGCTTTCAGATTCTATGCTTCATAAACACACACACACACACACACACACACACGATTTGAATCTGTTAAGGAAAAATAAACCAATTCAGCTCTGGGTGAGCCCCAGCTCCCTATTTCACTCACCCTGACATAAAGCACCCCCCAGACCCTCCCTAACAGAAAATAAAACAGCTGCGTTAGATTCTAGCAGAGACACATGGACTTCATTGGCTATCGTGAAAGTTATTCTGCTGTGTGTGACTGTGAACGCCTATCCGTAGTCTCAGCTATCTCACGGTGTCCAGTCTTCTGCAAAAGCGGAGCCTGCCAGCAACGAGCCCCCTCTCTCTTCCCATGAACACCTCTTGCTATGAGTTTTCGCTCGGCCTTCCTCCGTCCCTTTCTTTTCCCTACATGGAGATTTGCAGCCCAGGGTCTCTAATAGCTGGCATCCATCAAGACGTGCAATTTGCCCATCTACCGGGCAGTGTCACGCGCAGGAGCGCTGCTTGTAATTGCCTCTCTCATCTTTTACAAAAAAACTCTGCAAAGCAATTGCATCAGCGACAGCCGGGATGCTCGTGGAGGGGAAGAACGTGCTGGAGGAGGGAGAGCTTTCTGTTTGTGCTGCTGTTTCTGTTGCTCCCTCTTACTGCCAGTGAAACACGGCCATTTCTTTTCCGGGTTAGCATGTTTGAAAAGCTCCTAACTACATGCAACTGTGAGCTAATGAGGTTTGAGCTAACAATTTTATTTATTTGGGGCAGTTGAGGCAAAAATATATGATTAAATATCTCTGGACATTTCCAAGAGGAAGATGGATAGAATATTTTCTAGACTGGCTTTAAGTTCCTAAAAAAAAATAAAATCAAGGGTTGGATTGCTCAAGATTTCTTTGAGCCTTCTTCATTTTTTAGATATGTAAAAGAGTAAAATATAAATATACTAAAATGTTATATTATATACAATAGACAGATACATAATATATTTATGTATACAACACAATGTATATGTGTACACTATATAATGTATCATGTATCTCCTATAATACATAAGATTTCTTTTATAAAGAAACATAAAGATATCTATAATAATATGCTAATTAGACCAGACATCTTCCGGATGTCATTCTGGATGTCCTTCCTGAGGAAGCCGGGGCCGGAGGGAAGACACCCTAGGTCCCTGGTGCCTGCAGGCAGCCTGCGGGAAGCCAGCCCAGGTCCCCGATTCAGAGGGAGGCCGGTGCTGGCAGCAGGTGGAGAGGAAAGGGGGGAAGGGAGGCCTACTCTTGCATGAATTCTCGTGCACCAGGCCTCTAGTATTTATATAAAATAATACAGGCAAATGAATTAATAAAAGTAGCATCAAACTCTATAAGAAACCAATTAGGAAAACATAAAAAGTATAAGTGACCAATCTGACAGCAACAGGACTGTAACAGGATTATATTCTATAATCTTCATGATCAATATTTCTAATTAACCATACCACTCACCATCACTGTCTTTAGATAATTCATTATACTCAACTCTAGCTAAATTACCTCTTTTGGGGTTTTTGTTTTTGTTTCTGCTGATACTTATAAACCTGAGAAGGGAGGAAGACCTACTTTTAAAATGTCTACCAAAAATTCTGTTTGGTATATATTTTTTATTCCACAGTTAATAACAAGTCATTACCTCAGTGTAGGTTTTGAAAACATTAATTTGGACTCAAGTTCTACAGGCATTTGAACTTGAATATGCTGGTACGGATCAAATAGGAAAACTAAATATTAGGCCGACATTGGAAAGAACATAAAAGTAGAATTCAGAACCTCTAAATCACTTCAGAAGTGAGTCGTGCATTTCAAAATAAAATTGGTCCTTTATTGTTAAACAACAAGACTGCACATAAAGGAAGAACTGTAAAATCTTTAGCAGAAAATGAGGGTTTGCCTGCCTTATAGGCCCAAAAAGAAGGACCACTCTCACATCATCAGGCCTACATCCAGGAAGGCCAATCACTGATGGTGTCAGCTCACACCCAACTTAACAATGCGTACGCCACAGGAAAGAGGCGGTCAATTCCAGCTACACGGCTAATTTATTTGACCAGACATAAAATTAATGGGACGCATTTGTACTAGCTATTTCTAATTTAGCTCTAAGTGGGCGTCTCCTGCCCAGTTATTTTGGGATAAATGAGGTCAGAATAATTTGCAGACGGCTCTCCAGAGTGAGCAAAGGGCTTCCGCACCATTACAATACCAGTTCTTTCAAGTGTTCGCCTTGGTATCAGAGAGACATGGCTGCCCCTCCCCACATCTAGTCTTTTCTAGAACCTTCCCTTAGTCGGGGATGGGGAACGGGGCCTGAAAAATCACTTGGTCTGGCCCCGCCAACCCCACTGCAGGCGGGACTCAAAATCCAATAAATTTAGGAGCTTTTTTATAGCAACATACATTATATTAAGTGAATCAGTATACTGAGCAAATGATGTTAGAAATGGGTCAGAAACTTTGAATTTGAGTTTTGTTTTGCTTTTTGCTGGCTGTTTGACCTTCAGCAAGGACAAAACAGTTCGCTCGTCCAGAAATTAAAAATCACAGTGTCGCTCCTTCTTACTTCTCTGAGCTCTGGAGCGCGGTCTGCAGTTTGACTCAGGGCTCTGGTCCCTTCACGGGTGTCAGAGCCCTTTGGTTGTTCTTCTCTCACTTTTTTAGGTTTGGGGCACTTATCTGTAGAGTTTTTCAATTCCTCTTCCTCCTGACCGGTTGTGCTCACTCCTTTTTCTGTCTGAACTGCAGCAGAATTCGGGATATTGCCGTCAAGCAGGTGACTGTTCTGAAGCCCACCACACCTTCCCAGGCCATTTGCAAGCAAGGCTTTTGATGCTGCTGTACAAAGTTGTCAAGTAAATAAAATTCCTAATAATACACTGCCCTCATATTGTTCTGCACCTGAAAATGGTTATCGGTACCCAGATTTCTGTGATGAACACCACACTCTTTATTCAAGCAACTAAGGCCCTCTTGAATCTGGTTTTACTACATATTAGTAACTAACAAATAATAGTTAACATTTAATGATAGCTTATTTTGTGATAGGCACAAATAACATGGATTATCTCGTTTCATAATCTTAGCAGATGTATTTATATAATTCATACAGCTATTAACCTATTCCAGAGAGCTTTACTACTAATTAAGCCCTTTCATCCGTATAAACAAACCAATGGGTAAGTACTATTATTACGCCCACTTTTCAGATGAGGCAACCAAAGCACAGAGAGATAGAGCAATGGGCTCAAGGCCACACAGCTCACAAGCAAAGCAGCTTGGGCTGGAGTCTGGGCAGTGACAGCCCGGCCCCACCTGGGACATAGCGCTGCCTCTGGGCAGAGCGTGGAATCACCACACACACTCTTAGAATCCAATCTCTTCCCAGAACTGTACTCTTCTCATCTTTGGTTCCTGCTTTCCTCTCTGCTTGGGGCCTGCCACCCTCTGCCTACCTAATCTCCCCACCTGAAGGCTGTTCTGAGAAGCTGGCCCCACTGGCACTCTCCCCTCCCTACCCACATTCTAGGGCTGTGGTCGGCAAACTGCGACTTGCGAGCCACATGCCGAATCTATTTTGAAGAAGTGGCATTAGAACAAGTTTAAGTTTAAAAAATTTGGCTTTCAAAAGAAATGTCAGTCGTTGTACTGTTGATATTTGGTTCTGTTGACTAATGAGTTTGCCCACCACTGATCTAGGGCATACTATCTGCACCAAACGTCTTCCCACCTATGTCCTGTTTCATTTGGAGCCTTATTATATACTAACTTGCATGGCTCTTTGTCTTGGGCAGGCCTTGGACCTCCAACACAGTGATGACCGCCTTGAAGGTACCAACCAGGCATCTCTGAAATCCCCCAAAGAGCTTGGCATGGTGACAGCGGGCCCAGATGCCTTACACATCCTTGTTGAACTGAAGTGTGAAATGAAGTCAACGCCCCCTCCCTACATAGCATATCTACTCAATTGGACCTTATAATTACATAATTAAAATTAAGCAAGCATCCTGAATAAATTCTAAATTTGCCCACTTATGATTCATTTTCCCTGCTGACCTGACACTGAGCATGGGGAAGAGAGGAAGACCATGCAGAGGTAGGAATGAAGTCCAAGTCTCCTTAATTAAAACCACTGGCACGGGCCTCTTATTGATGTGGCTGAAAAAATTAATTTGGTTCTTCCTTACATCTGTCACTAAAAGTCACTTCACTTCATTCAAATTTAATTTGTCCTTAGCATAATGGTACAGATCCACCCGGACTTGGATAAATGGGCCTATCTACCGCACGGCGGACTCCTTTGGCAGGATTTCCACGCATGGCAATCATTCCACTGCATTTTGCAGTCACCTACTTGGCTGTGTCCGCTCCGCTGGTGATTAGGGTGTTAATCAAAAGCTCATGGCCGTATCTTGCAGCCACATGGAGAGGAGTGTTGCCATCCTTATCCACACAGTCAATTTCTCCTCCTGCAAAAGATTTTTGAACACAGGATATAACGTAAGGACCCAGACTGACCTGATACCACCTTCTCTCCTAGTCAATCCTGGTGATCAGATGTAGATTTCTTTCCTCCTTAGGAACGCTTTTCCATGTGAAGGAAGGAGATTCTGTTAGAAATGCTCCTGTCAAACCTTATGGAGGGAGTTCTGTTAGAAATGCTTCTGAAAAACCTTTCCATATGTCTTAAAAATCAGACATATGACATTTCACTGTTAGGAACAGACTCTCCTACATATCCATAATTCCGTTATTATACCCAAGAAATTTAACATTGATATAATTTTATATAATATACAGTGCATCTTCCAATTTATCCAGTTTCACACCCCCCCCCAAAAAAAAGTGCTTACGAGCCATTTTTAAAAATTCCAGGATCCAATCTAAAACTCTGATAGCATTTGGTTGTCCTGTCGCTTTAGTTTTCTTTAATCTACAAAAATCTTCTTGTGTTTTATTTAATTTTTAGTCTCTCATGTCACTGATACTTTGGGAGGCCAAGCCAGGAGTCCTGTAGAGTGTCGTATTCTGGAGTTGCCTGATGATTTCCGGATTACTATCGATAGAGTCTGGTCAAGCACTGTGTCTAGAGCACACCCGCGTTGATGCGCATCCCCCATTCCATCTCCTCAGCAGACGCCTAAGGTCCGGTTATCCCATTACTGGGTGTGCACCTGAGGAAGTTCTAAAAATGGATGAATGCACAACCATGCACTTAGTGCATGTTTCCAAAGGCACAATTGGATTTTTACAAAGCCCCACTCTCACTTCATCCTCAACCACATCCTGTAGAAACCATCTGTGTTGGTTTTGGTTTACGTTTCCTGTGTTTCTCTGCAAAAAATAAGCACCTAGACTCTTTCACACCTGGCTCTTTTCCTTTTCACTTAATATCTCCTGGAATTCACCTCTAGAGACCACTTCTTGGAGATCTTCCTCGTCTCTGTACAGCTTTATGGTTTCCATTGCACGGATGTGGTACTAGGTCAGTGGCCCAGTCTCCTATGGAGGAGCATTTAGGTTTTAAATATTATCCTTGCTAATAGCAAGAATGCTGTCGTGGATAATCTCACTTTTGCTTCGTATTTGTTGGGTATAACATCCAGGTAAATTCCTAGAAAGAGTAAATGCACATGTGGTTTTGTTAGATTTTGCTAAGTGTGCCTCTTTAGGCCCTATGTGATTTTGCAGTTTCGGCAGTAAGGTGTGTGTGCCTTCACCTCACAGGCTTGTCAAGCTATGAGTACTGTCATGTGATGGCGAGAACTGGCATCCTAGGGTAGTTTTCACTTGAATTTCTCTTATCAGGAAAGTTGAGTGTCTTGTCATATATCCGCTCTCCTCTCTCCTCTCTCCTCTCTCTCTCTCCCTTCCCGTGTGTGTGTGTGTGTGTGTGTGTGTGTGTGTGTGTGTGCGCGCGCGCGCGCGCATGTATGGGGGTTCTTCTATCCCTTGATTTTTCAGGGCTCTTAAAATATTTGGGAGATTACCCATTTATCAGTAATACGTGTTGCAAACACTTTCCCCCTGGAATTTCATTTGTCTTTGGTGTGTAACCTTAAGAAATATTTTTATAATGTACCAGTCTTTTATTGTACTTAGATTTTAAGTTGTAGTTATTAGAAAGGCTTTATCTACATCCTGGAGATTAAAAAAAAAAAAATCGACGTAAAAATATTTGCACATCAAATCTTTTTTACTGTGATACAGTACTTATTTTTAAAAAACAGTTATTCATATTGACTATAACCATTTCTGTAAAAATAAAAGTGATGATTATATACCTTTATATTGTGTACACATATACATTCTTAAATACAGAGAAAAATCTGGAAGTGTCATCAAACTATCAATAGAAATTCTTGGGATGGAGTTGGGGAGACATATTGGTGAATATCATGGGCAATCTCTTTCATGCTTTAACTTTGACAATGAGCATGTCCTAATTTTATAATCAGTTAAAATAAGAAAATAAAATTAGCATCTTCTAGGGACTTAACAGATTGTTTTCTCTGATCCAAGTTCAGAAGCATCCAGCTTAGGTTCATCATTTTTATGATGTGATATAATCTTGGGGACAGGCAGCCAGCTGGTCTCCATGGATACCTCGAAGCAATCCTGGTACATGTACCTGTGTAAGAACCGCCTACAGTGGTCGGCCTGAAAGGTCTCCTCATGGAGCTGACCCAGGAGGTGAAGGAGGCAGACCCCCAGACTTCAGAGAAGTCTTCACCCTGAATACACACTGAATCACTCAGGCCCCTCACAGCAAACCTTTCTCAGCAAATGTGAGAGCTACCATGTTTACCAGCCTCAAATATGCCAAAAACTGGGTAGAAGAAAGAAGAGTGAAAAATATTGAAACGGGTGGAAAAGAGAAGCTGAGTTGATAGTTTCTTCCAGTTGTACTATTGTTTAATAAGTCCACTTAAAACTGTAAAAATATAGATACTTCCACATGTGCTTTTACTGTTATTTAAAATACAATTTAAAAAAATAAAGCACATTTCAAGAAAACATAATTTGGGTATTTGTTATTCAAAAATGTTTTATATTAAAACAGGACCTCTAGATGAATGAATTTCCATTTTCCATTCACACAAACCTTTCCATTGCTAATTTAATACCTTTACTGTTCATTTAAAGGTTGCAAGTTAAACACTGATAACCTGTCCTGGATCATTAGTGAGGAAAAAAGCATCTGAGTTTAGCAGAGCCAGAGCGTGCCCGGGTGCTCACACTGCCGTCCGCGCCCTCCTCTGGAGCTAGTCCATCGCACACACAAGGGCGCTCAGCTCTCCACATTCCCGCAGCAGAACTGTGAGCCAAAAGGTCAAAAGCCTCGCGAGGACACATCCTAGCCCAGCACTTGACTCCTCCTTTTCAAACTCTATCTGTGCAGCTTCCGGAAGAAAACAGCCGCTTTGGACTTTTGTAACCTCCTGACCAGCGTCGGAGCAGCTGCCTGCGGCCAGCGGCTGGGCTCCAGGCCTCCGGAGTCCACGCTGGGTTTTGTTCAGGTCCTGCCCCGCCGGCCGTGACAACAGCTTCAGACAACAAACTGTGACTGCCCGGCAGAGGCACGCTTGCTAACCAACGGAACGAACCAGTGGCTCTCTTTCCGAAGCTGAACCGTTCTGGAAACGCAAAGTGATCATGAAGAACCAATAACCCTGACCAGAGAGCAGAGGATTGCCCTGGGAAGTCCAAACCCCAGAGGGACTGACCACAACAACACACACACACACACACACACACACACACACACACAGCGTGCTCCTGCAGCCTGCTCGCTGGGTCAAGAGCCAGCGCTGTCCCCATGTGGGCTGGCCCTGGGGCCCCTGGCCCAGTGACCCCTCCGAGGTGCACACAGGCCCTGCGGGTGTGAGGGCGTGAGCCTCCGTACTTTCCCAGGAGGAAGCCGACCGACCGACCAGAGGAAAGAACAGAGCTGCTTATTCTCCTCCGAGGACACTTGGTAAAATGTCAAACGGAAGCACTCACGGTTCTCACGGGGGAAGGAGCGCAAAGAACTCTCAGCTGGAGGAGAATGGAGATCATCCCATCTCAGGGACGACTCACTCCAAATGTAAGCGACTCCTGGACATAATATAATTCAAGTCAAAAACAACTTTGATGCCCTTGTTTATCCAGAAAACACGTAAGTGTAGTGGTTAAAAATTCAGTCTCTGGCCGGCCAGCATGGCTCAGTGGTTGAATGTCAATCTATGAAGCAGGAGGTCATAGTTCAATTCCCAGTCAGGGCACTTTCCCAGTGGGGGCATGCAGGAGGCAGCTGATCAATGGCTCTCTCTCATTGATGTTCCTGTCTCTTTCTTTCCCTCTCCCTTCCTCTCTGGAATCAGTAAGAAAATATAGATATTTCTTAAGTTCAGTTTCTGATGTTAGACTGCCTCCGTTCCAATCTCTGTGCTGTCACATACCTGCCATATATCCTGGTAATAGCCACACCCTCTCTGCCTCAATTTCCCCATCTTTGAAATGGAGCTGTCCCAGTATCTCTTCCTCATGGGGTGGTTGAAAGGATTTGTGTGCAGAGCTAAGCCAAGTGCCCTGCTCAGTATGAACTCTCAACCAGATGTAGCTTTGGAATTATATATAACTAGAGGCCCGGTGCACAAAATTTGTACACTCCCTAGGGTCCCTTGGCCCGGCCTGTACCCTCTCAAAGTCCAGGAGCTCAGGGCTTCTGGCTGAGCAGCACTCACCCTGTGGGAGTGCACTGACCACCAGGGGGCAGCTCCTGCATTGAGCATCTGCCCCCTGGTGGTCAGTGTGCGTCGTAGCAACTGGTTGTTCCACCATTTGGTCAATATGCATATTACCCTTTTACTGTATAGGATGGACTACATATTCTAGCCCATAAGTCCCCATCATTTGGGGATCCCTGGACCCCATCCAACCCACAAGCAAGATGGCAGGCCAGTCAAGAAGGAGACAGGCTCTGAAACAAAGCTCCTTGGTCACAGAGGACAAGAGATGGAGTCCCTTTCAGGTCTCGTCCCAACGCAGACGTCTAGCAAGGATGTGCAGGAGGGCGTGGCAGTCTTCAGGCCTTTGGAGAGGGCAAGGCAGCGCCCCGTGCCCCGCCGGGGGGACTATTGTAAGCAACTAGCATAGCAGAGGGGACGTGGGGCTGGCCAGGACGCGAAGGAGAAGGCCCGTAGTCTGGCCCCCAGGACCCATGTGAGGAGGGAGGACTTACAAGGTGAGGAACTACTCTCTCTGGTCCGGTCACTGGTGCGTGAAATGGCTCTAACGGAACAAAGCTTTTATGCCACTGAGCTAAGGCCCAGTTCATTTGAATTAATTTTTAAAAAATAAACTACACCAAATTTCTCCCTAGTTTTGTTTATTTTTTAAGACAGGGACACTGCTTCTGAGAAATGCAGTGGGATAAGGAAACTGATCAAAAGAGAGACACCATTGTTAGCCTGCAATCTCTGTTCTCTCCCTAAGCATCTTGGAGATGGGGTGCCACCTCCCCTGTCCACGCCCAGCAGAATAAACCATCAACGTGGGCCTTTCACTGACATGGCTGTCCCAGGCAGGACACATATGTCCGCTACCAAGAACGCATGTGTGGCGTTCGTGTTCATTCTCCCTCCCTGGCTCACTGAGGACTGGTTCGTCATCCTGAAAAGCTCAGACATACCCTCCGCTTTGCTGCAGAGATTCTGCTCTCTCAGCATCATTTCCCTGGCCTGTCTTCCCTCCAAATGTCAGATGACGGTCTGGTTTTACAACCCGAATGCCTACGCTCTAACTCAGTGCCACGGATAATTCAAGTGCATGTCATCGAAGGGCTGACAGGTGAGAGAAAAAATAGGCCCAAGAAAACTGATGCCAGAATTGTGGGAAGGAGAAATGTGGGTCAACTAAAGAGAGCTGAGGAGCTGCAGGATTCACCTGGAACGTGAACTAAAATCTGGGCTCACCGTGTGTGTGTGTGTGTGTGTGTGTGTGTGTGTGTATGGGAGTGGGGGTGGGGGGCTCGTGGTCTTGGTGTGTTTTTTTCAGATGTCTCTAAGATTTGCTAAGACAACAGACTTAGGCTGTGAAGGTCAACCCACTCGAGATGCTGGCCACCACCCACGATGAGAAGCGACCCTCCCAGGTACTCTGGCTGCGGAAACAGCCCATTGGTTCACATAGGCTGCTGCTGCAAGCCTGGGAGATCACTAGATCATGTGACTTCCCAAGGTCTCTACCAAGCATGTGACTGCTAGGATTCTTCACATCACATACTCACCTGCTTTTCTCCTGAGTAACCTCATCGTTAGCTACCTTTGCCCAAACAGCTCATTGTGTTTTAGCTCAGTGCCATGGTCGGCAAACTGTGGCTTTCGAGACACATGCGGCTCTTTGGCCCCTTGAGTGTGGCTCTTCCACAAAATGCCACAGCCTGAGCGAGTCTATGTTAAAGAAGTGGCATTAGAAGAAGTTTAAGTTTAAAAAATTTGGCTCTCAAAAGCAATTTCAATCGTTGTACTGTTGATATTCGGCTCTGTTGGCTAATGAGTTTGCCGACCACTGGCTTGGGAAATGATGGTGAATTCTGAAACTTGAAAATAGCTCGGGTTTCCTGCTAGGAAACGTACAGTACTTATTTTTATCAGTTTCTGAGTGGAAAGTGCAGCCTCTTAAGCCCATGGAGGTGTGTATATCACGGCTCATTTCAGCACTCACATGTTCTCTGACTGCCTGGGAATGGACTGTGAAACATAGTGGCTTTAGGCCATTCCCATTGAGCTGACTGGCCACGTGAGGGCTGAGGAAGAGCTGTCAGCAGAGCACAGCAAAGGGAACTGCAAATCTGAGCGCCAGAAGCTCTAACAGAGCAACACCTTTCACGCTCGGATGACTGACAGCCCATCTCATGGGGCCAGGAAGCGTTCCAACAGGAGAGCGCGGACAGGCCTCTTACCGTTCTGGATGAGGGTCTGCGAGCGTGTGAACCTGCCGTGGACCGCTGTCATGTGCAGGGGACTTTTGCCATCTTTACTCTGAAAAAGAAGGGAGAGAGAGAGACAATGGACCGGGGACATGGGTCCGAGACGTCCCGCTGGACACTGCTGGCAATGTCCTGACAACGTCAACTTAAATTTTTTCAAGTATAATAATAATAAAAAAATGACAAGAGGCAATAGATAATTTTGAAAGTGAATGGTGAAGGGTACGTTATATCTCAAGTTGCTGCATAACCTCACATCGTAAAGAAGCCAGGAGAGGTGAATATTTTAGAGGAAAAAATGCAAAATGTCTAATTATACTGACTATTTTCAAACGACTCTGTTTCAAACAGAATAAATCCTCCAAAACGTTTTCATCTCCTGTAACCTACTGGATGAAGGAAGGTTTCAACTTTTGTCTATAGTCCATGGGGGATGACGACAAATGGTGTGTTATCTCTCGTGGCCCTGTGTGACCTGGCATAGCCCAAACTGCTATAAGTCACTGACACTCTCAGGACAATTCTATTGTAGAATCCTCCACCATCCCCCTCCCCCCTTTTAACTCCAGAGGAAAACACTTCTGACAGTTGCAAAAAGAGAAAGGCTGAATTCATAGCACTGAGTCATGCAACTACCCAGCAAACTGCCCCTTTAACGTTCGCCTGGAAACGTGCACTGAATGCACACATCTCGTCCTTGTTTGAGATAACAGTGACGGGACTTCCTGACACAGATGAAGCCAAAACATAAAAAATGCACAGAATCTGTATACTGGTCATCATTATACCAAATACTCAACACCCAGACATTTAATTAAGAAATAGTCCTTCATAGAATTTCTTCTTAAAATAGAAACCAAAAAAAATATTAGTTATTTTGGACCAGTAGTCAGCAAACTGTGGCTCGCGAGCCACATGAAGCTCACGAGCCATGGTTTGCCTCTCTGTTGACTAATGAGTTTGCCGACCACTGTTTTGGACCAAAGGTATCCTCAACAGGATGCATTCTTTCATTGAAGTATTGTAATTACTATTTTAAAAACACACACACACTATGTAATTGTTATTTTTCTAAGTCTTAGGGAAACACTTTTCTTAAGCCTGAGGTTAAAATATGTGGTTTCTAACATGCAAGTTCGTGTTAGTGATGCATCCCACACTCTGGTCCTTTAAGATGGCAATTGGTTTAAAAATATCTACTGTGGAACACAGATCATGACTTAAAAAAGTGATTCCCAGAGTGAACCGAGGACTGTCGGTGCCTGATCATCGGGATGCTTGTTATCAATGTGAATTCTGTGCCCAAACCCAGGCCTACCGAGTTGGAATCCGGGTGATGGGAGCCCCACTTGTGACCTGCAGAGCGCCCTGCTGTAGACTGAGGGCTAGAACCGCTGGCAGAGCCACGGGCTTGAACAGAGAAGTTTAAGTCTATTCCTCTGAAGGGAAGCAGGGAGCTAGGCCCAGGCCGGGCCTGGAGGTGTACATCGAGTGGAGCTGCCTCATGGTGACAGCTCGCAGGCAGACGGCAGACAAGGAACTGATAGGGTCTGCTCCCCGCCTTACAGCAGTGCCACCGCAGTCAGAAAGGACTGGGGAAGAGAGAGGGAAGCAAACCAGAAGGCTTCCTGGAAGGGTTTTCAAGGAAAAGTGGCAGCCATAAGGATAATGAGGCTACGTGGCCACCCTGGTTGGCCGACTCTCCGACTCCGGAGCCTGGGCCTGCTGTCAGGGGTGCAGCCAGCGTCAAGCACCAAATCCCTGGGAACCACTTGGGAATAAGGATTTGAAACACCCCCCCTCCACCCGCCATAGAAACGTGAGGACAGTCCAGGTCGCTTAGGGAGAGAGCGGAAATCGCAGACTGACATGAACTTGTCCCTAGGTGGTGCTATTTCTTTAAATTTTGCTCTAATATTTTTCTCTTAAATTTCATATGAAAACATAACTCGTTCGTGATTCATTAAACCTATAAATCCATGGGTGTTTCCGTGTTTCGAGGTGACCTTTATCCACATTGAACTGAGCGCTTTCCACGCCCAGAGAACAGCTTGAAGCCTTTCCCACGGCGTCCCCCCAATCTGGTGGTCGCTAAGGAAACGGCGGCCAGTGCGCAGGAGCAGAAGGGATGGGCCTGCGGAGTGTGGTCTACCAAGCGGGTCCATGTCAGGGTCAGCAGCACCTCACCCGCCTCTCCCTCAGAGTGTCTGTACCTTTGGTAAAGCGACACATAAATAGGATGACCGACCAAGGACAGGAAAACTCAAAGGACAGCGTGGTGGTCAGCGGTGATGCCCATGTCAGGTTCCCGGGTTCGTCTACCACTGAGTCCGGACCGTGGCCGACTGTCCCTTTCTCACAGGGAGACGGGTGGCGGGGGGCGGGGGGGGGGGGTGACAGGAAGCCTGACAAGTCACTTTAGGGCAGTTTTGTTCAGATGGTATGAACTTCAAAAGGCCCTTGAACACCAGGGAAGGTCAAAAGGACCCTACTTTGTACCCCGCCTTGTGAGCTAGAACTCAGAGTCCTCGGGCTGAGAGGAAGGCCCTGCCTGAGACATGGTGCACGGGGGGCAGGCTGTGGGCTGATGCTCTGAGAACTTCCAACATGAAAGATCCCTGCATGCTCGAAGGAGAGAGAGGTCATGGGCAATTCCTCTGTTTACTCACAGCTTTGCTTTTTCTAAATCTTATTCTTAAATGTCTAATCTCCCTCCAATTTCTAGATGCATTTTCCCACCAGATTGAGGACTCAGAAAATTTTATTTGGGGAATTTATTTAATTAAGCAAAAAGCTCTTCTATTGACTAAGAGTTCAGCCATAAATCATGAAGAAAAACAAATTGAGGATGACCAATAGGATATTTTATGACACATATGAATACTCTTCCGGGGCAGAATTCAGCACCATCTGAGGAAGACGGATCCTTGGCCTAAGGGAGTGTTGCCCTTTTCTTGACCCCTTTCCTCAGAAATCCTTTCATTCTCTTCTTCCGCTCCTCATGCCACCCTTCCTATCCTCCACCCCCTCCCAAAACCTTCCCTAAACACACATTCTCCTCCCCAGGAACCTGCAGGCTTTGTGCTCTTTGTGGTATATTTGCTGCCTCCGGGAGTCACCAGCTCCATATCCTACTAAAGGCCAAGAGCGCCCCCAGAGCACAACACTGAGGTCAGCGAGGGAAGTGGGGCAGATAGAGCCAGAAACCCCAAAGGGCTTCCCGAGTCAATGGAAGAACAACAGGAAACCCTGGTTTGCACAAAAGCTCGTGTATGGTCCAATTTTCTTTCATGGTTCTAAAGGCTGGAAATGAGACGTAGTTGGCTCGTTCATTCATCCCTCTCCTTTCCTCACATGCTCTTCAGAGTTCCAAGGGCCATATCCCTATGCCTGCCTACTCCAGTTTCACCTTCAACCTCGTCAAAACAACCCGAGTTCTAGAATTGGTCCTGGTATATATAAAGAAGGGCGCAGGCCCACATCAGTAGATACCGTAGATGCTGGGCTTCAAATCCCGTCTCTCTTAGGGCCGAATGCTCTAGGGCCCTCAGACAGAGAAGTGAGACCGTGGGCAGGCTGATGTTAGTGACCATGAGCGAGTATACCTGAGGTCCCTAACCCAATGTGAGCTGGCCTCTGCCAGTTAACTGGGAGAAGTAGGTAGGTGTGTCAGAGAATGGCCTAGTGACCAGGAGATACACAATCTGGCCTATCGGGCATGGCCACATGCTTGGTGACTTCTTTAACACTTACTCTGAATGTTTCCAAAAAGAGCCTGGAGCTGCTACAGAGATTACAGTTATAATGGGGAAGAAATAAATATCAGTTTATGTTTTCTCACGCTCTTTCCATTTGCAAAATACCAGCAAACCTTCGATGCATTGCTGTATGAAGTATTATGTCTTTATTATTTTATCACAAATAAACTAGTATCACAAGGTCAAAGCCACGGTCAATCTAACAAAATGAAGGATTGTAAAATGCATGCAGGACACATATCCTTCCTCCTCTTTCAATAAATATTCTTGTCGTTTCCCATGAAGACATTGCTTTTAGTGTTTTGTGAGGACGGAGGAAAACAAAGTGAACATGTGGGTGGGTATTGGCTATATTTCAATATGTGATTTCCCTCAAGCTTTAGAAAATCCAAACAAATACAAACTGTCTTGAAATCTACAAACACTTTCAAAACCCAAGGAGCAACGTGGATGAGAGAGATAAACCCTTCACAATTAGAAAGCTACCTCCAGAGTCAGACAGGACGGCTCTGCGGAAATGTCAGATGATCTATGAGCCCAGAGGCCATCTGGAATAGCAAAGGGGAGGACTCGAGAGCATGAGGAAACCAAGAGGCTGTAGACAGAGTGGATGTAGGGAGACTGAGGGTAAAGGCTGGATTTAATTCAAAATCCCACTGGCATGGGGTTGAGGACACGTAAACCAAAGTCTTAGGTTTTTAAAATGCTATCTCCTATATTCTACTGGTGCTTAGCAGTCTACAGGAAAAGTTAATACTCAATCTAGTAACTATGCTTCCAGGTCCGTTTTATGGGGAAGAGAAGGCTGCCATAAACCGGTGCCCCATACACAGCTGAAGCCCCTGTCCAATGGGAACTGCCGCTGTCAGTGATCTGGAAGCAATAGGTAGGTGTCTATCCAGCCCCAGGATAAGCACAGATTCCAGAGGTGATTGAAAACCTTTCAATTAATTGAATGGAGGTTGGTGAAGACAGAAACTTTGTTTAACTTTAATAATTTTTCTTTCTTTGGAGGCTTTAAGGATGTCCCTCAGACACCAGGATGGCAATGTCCTCAAGTCTACGGACACTGAAGGTCTGGCCACCTGTTAGCCTCCCACCAGCACACTCTCCGACTTCAATCCCACACAGTGACTCTCCCCCAACCTTGGGCTACCGTTCCCTGGTCTCTTCAATGCCCCCAAAGACTTTCTCTTACCTCCACTTGGGATCTTGGATGATCTCTATCTACAAGATCTAGAACTCTGAAATTCTCTTCATCTATTCTACTTTTCCGTTATTACCTGCTTTTCTTCACTAAGACTCTACCCTCTCCTTCATTCCTTTTGTCTAACTCTTTCTTTGACAATTGATTTTAGAGGAAGGGAGAGAGAGGGAGAAGGAGAGAGAGTGAGAGAAAGGTTGCCATACCTGGATGTTAACATCCGCCCCATTGTTGACTAACAGCTCAAGACACAAAGCACCGTGTGTGGAGGCAGCAGCAAAATGCAGCGGGGTGAAGCCACTGTTGTTGGGCTGGTTCACATTAGCACCGTAGTCGGTCAGCTCGTTGACTACGGCATCCTGCCCATTGTAGCAGGCCAGGTGCAGCGCCGTGTTCCCATACACGTTGATTTCATCTATCTGCAAGTGAGTACAGGACAGGGGGGTTAAAATCCCTGCAGCCAGTTCACCCCATTTGCCACAAAAAGCCTAACGGCTGTGCCAGAGAGAGAAAACGTCCATCTGTCAATGTAATTATTCAGCGCTTACTCCTGCCCCACCCTGGCCATCCTGGAAATGCTTGTCATGGAGGTAAAAATCAGCAGAAAGGGGGCGTGACAAACAGAGAACTGGGGAGGAAGGGTGAGTGAGACAGACAGTTGTGCGCTATGGGAGGGGTTAACAAGCGAAGGCCAAAACTGCCTACAAATACCAGAGGAGCAGTGAATCAGGTGAATGAGAAAGAAGCCTGGCTGGATGGCGTGGCTCAGTGGTTGAGTGTCAACCTATGAACCCGGAGGTCACAGTTGGATTCCCAGTCAGGGCACATGCCCAGGTTGCGGGTTCTATCCCTAGTGTGGGGCATGTAGAAGGTAGCTAATCAATGATTCTCTCTCATCAAGGATGCTTCTATCTCTCTCTCTCCCTCTCCTTCCTCTCTGAAATCAATAATAATATGTTTTAAAAGAAGAAGAAAGAAGTCTGAAACTCACAGTGAACCCGAAGTGAAAGGGGTGGGAGGTGCACAGGGAGGCACTGTGGAGCCCGGAGCTCACAAGTTAGGCTCAGAAGCCACCCTGGGTGTAGCTGCCGCCTGACACCTCACAAGGCCGCATCCCAGAGCAGGACCATGAAGCTGGCCTGGGTTAGGCCATGGCTCCATCTTGCTACCCCAACTGCTGGATTTCACCATCAAGGTCTGTTTTGCAAGTTGGTTTTCCTTTCCTGCTCTGCTACTTGCAGGGGCTGGGCTGACCTCTCCAGCTCAGCAATGAACCCTTCTGCTGCTGTCCCTGCCACTCCCTCATCTCTGCTTGTGAGCCACCAGGTACTGTAGAAGGCTAGATTCCAAAGGTGGGATGTGGAGTCCTAGCCAGTCTTTAAAATTGACTGGTGAATGTGTATTTTATACATATAAAACGATTTCTCTAACTATTGTGACACAGAAAAATTAGTCTGTTTCTGGTTTTCCAGTAATTAGATGCCCCCATTGCCCTCCATCAGTTGCCCATTGAAACTCAAAGACAGGGTACGAGTAAGAAGAGTATTTTTCCTCTTGAATTAAAATGGAAACTGGATTTAGTCCTGGACAGGTAGCTCAGTTGGTTAGAGCATTTTCCCAATACACCAAAGTTGTGGGTTCCATCCCCCATCAGGGCATTTACCAACCAATCCTATATAATAAAAGCCTAATATGCTAAGTGTCGGGTCATACAGTTCACCATTCAACCAATCAAAGTGTAATATGCTAATGATATGGGAAAGCCACTCAACCGCTCGCTACAACTTGCAATGATGTGACCACCAGGGGCAGATGCTCTGACTGGTAGGTTAGCCTACTGCTGGAGTCTGGCTGATTAGGACTGAGCGAGATGTACCAGACATGCCCTGGAGCCCTCCCGTGGTCCCTCCCCAGCTGGCCAACCTGTGCCCTCTCCCAATCCAGGCTGAGGGGTCTTCCCCGGCCCCTTGACTGCACGAATTTCATGCACTGGGCCTCTAGTGAACAGATAAATGGGTAGAATAACAAATCAATGTTTCAATGTCTTCTCTCTCTCTCCTTCCCCTTCCTTCTCCAGCCCCCCTCTCACTCTCCTCTTCCTCTCTCTCAAATCAATAAATAAAATGCAAACAGGGTTTAATTTCAGAACAACAGACAGCCCCCAAATACACCCGGGGTGGTGCATGGTCGTGGCTCACCTCTACCCCCAGGTTGAGGAGATGTTTGACAACGTTGATCTGTCCGTTGGAGGCCGCGGCATGCAGGGGGGTGTAGCCCTTCTTGTCCTTGCAGGTCGCTTCTGCGCCGTGGTCCATGAGCAGCTCCACCACGTCCTGGTGGCCTTCACAGAGCGAGCAGCAGAGACACCGTTAAGCTTTACGGGATGGTTTGAGGACTCATGCCTCCTACGCAATCACTGTGAGCTTTTATCGCCACCGATATTTTGCTGAGCTATTTATACGAAGTTGGTTCATGGAAATACTCAACAAATATTTAGAGAGCACCTACTATGTGTCAGACTTTATGTAAATGCTGGGGTGGGGAGAAATAGATGATTCATATGTGAGCCTTTTCTTCAAGATCTAATGGGAGAGATGCCCGTTCATCAATAAGTAAGAACAAGGTCTGCCATGTGTTAGTACCTCAAGCTTCAAACATTATGTTAAAATGAAAGCAATGTTTTGGAAACCAATTGCTATGTCTCATTGAAGGGCCCTACAGTGGCAATTTGGTTTGAAAAAAATTAATGAAAACAAAAAAAAATCAATTAATCAGGGTGACTCCAGGTTAACGTCTGAATTATATGAAATTGCTGCTGTTGGACAGTTTTGTGTGTGTGTGTGTGTGTGTGTGTGTGTGTGTGTGTGTGAAAAGAGAGGGGTGTGTGTGAGAAAGGTATGCCTGCATGTGAAAGAGAGGCAGAGAAAGAGATGTGTGTATGTGTGTGAGTGAAAGATATCTGTGTGTGTGAGAGAGAGAGAGAAAGGTGGGCATACATATATGTGTGAATGAGTAGGAGACTGGTGTGTAGGGGGTGTGTGGAGAAAAAGAGATAGAGAGACAAAGAGAGAGAGAGAGTTTGGTCATGGCTTGTTTTATTAATATTTGACTCTTTTTCCCCAAGACTTGTATATAGAAAAATTGTTTTCAATTACTAATGGTGCTGTCTTTCGTCCTGGTTGTCCTTTATTTCCTACAGGTCGTCAACTATGTATTTTCCTATTTGAATCTTGATGACACACAAAATGATGACATTACTCCTCCAAACCGATTCCACACACATGCTCTAGCTGCACATCAGCAAGGAACAGACCGGAGTGCCAGGTGTCTGAGTGCCATCCCATACCAGCCTACGTGTGCTCTGCCTGAAGGTCAGCCTGGCAAACACCCATCTGCTCCAGCCCCACGGGGCCATGCAAGGATCCACTCCACTCAGCCAGCTCAGTTCACCTCCCTGCACACGACAGGCTCACAAAGTCTTGGGATTCTAGTGTTTGAAGCCTGAAGATTCATTCAGACCCAAGAACACATCCTTTATTTCCTCCCTGCTCCAAACCACCTTCTTTCCTTCCCACAATTAACATTCTTGTTGGGGTTTTTTATGAGATAAAAGGCCTGTGTGCTTAAGAAGATTCAGAAAAGCCAAGTGGTATTAAAAGGAAACCAAAATCACCAACCATCACCAATCCCTGGAGATATCCAACGCACATTTCAGTGCATCCTACACCAGCTTGTTTTTATTGTATAGCATTTTTTTAACGGTGGTCACAGTATCCATCCTGTGCTGTGATCTGTTTTCAGTTGACAATCAGAGGACCCTCCTATGTTAATAAAGATAATGATGTCATCACTGCCATCACTGTGCCGTGTCCACTGTGTAGATCTCCCGTAATTTACCAACATCATCTCCTGGGGATGGGCCTTCAAGGGGGTTAGAACTTGGTGCCAACAGAATCTTGTCTGCATCCTAATTGCAGGATGTTCTCCAATCAGAAACACAAAGGAAGGATCTCCATTTCCCACAGGGCCACACCGAGAATAAACTCTACAAGGTCTATCTTTTGTCAGTGGTATTTGGGCCAACAGAAGCAAAAGGGAAAAATAGAGAAATGTACCTTCTTCCCCCACCTCCCGCCGAGCTGGCAGAAGCAAGGACTACAAGCCCCAGCTTTGCGGGACAAGAACAAGCAGGACAATCCATGGTGACTCCGGCCACCTTAACCTACACAACAGCCGGGGGTGGGGGTGTGGGGGCGGGTGGCGGGGAGATCGTTCCATCCATCCTTCCTTCCTGGTTCTTTCAAAAATATTTATAAATAAAAAGACAAATGGCATTTACGTCCTTGGTTTGCGAGCCAGACCGCTTCTTTGTAAACACCTTATCTTGCTTCCACAACAAGTTGGAAGAAGCACCATTTGTACAGCTTTCCAATCCAGACTGAAACACACTCCGTGGGACCCAGGCCATGATGCATGCCTCCTCCTCCTCCCTGTGAGAGAAATAAATCTCTGGCAAAGCAACTGCCCAACTAGGGTGTTCGATGCATGCCAGTCCAACGGGCCAAATCTCCATCCAGCTGAACCCCAGGCTGGAAGAGAGGTCAGACTTGCCCGAGAAGAGCCTGTGTGGTCAGTGAGAGAGCCCTGGCTGCTGCCCTCATGAAGGTCACGTGCACCTGCTTCCCCCCCAGGCACCACTTACCCATGTACGCTGCCCAGTGCAAGGCCCGCCGGTCCTTCTTGTCAAAGGCGTTGATGTTCGCCCCTTTGGCCAGGAGGAGGTTGACCATCTGCAAGGTAAACCGGGAGTGAGGTCCCATGTGCACTGTGGACGGGAGAGGGCCCCTCACCGCCTGCAGGGGGACTGCGCCAAATGGAAGGCCAGGCTGGTCAGAGATCGGAGTTCAAGCAGAGTTCAAACCCGGCAGCATGTGCATCAGGAGAAAAAGACTCAGGTGATGGCTACTTTTTCAACTCGCCGTGGCTCCAGATTTAAAAACGGATATAGCCCAGCCGGTGTGGCTCAGTGGTTGAGCGTCAACCTGTGAACCAGGAGGTCGCGGTTCCATTCCCGGTCAGGGCACATGCCTGGGTTGCAGGCTCGATGCCCAGTGTGGGGTGTGCAGGAGGCGGCCCATCCATGATTCTCTCTCATCATTGCTGTTTCTAGCTCTCTCTCCCTCTCCCTTCCTCTCTGAAATCAATAAAAATATATTTAAAAATAGGTAAATAAAAATGGATATAAATGCCTGTGATTTTGTGTACAAATATTACTACAAAGGTCTCAGCAGTAATATTAGGTTCCATAGTGGGCTGAGAGGATACGAGATTGAGGGGGGGAGGGGAGAGACAGGAGAGAGAGAGGATTCAGCAAATGGTTCCATCAGAGCTGAGAGAGCTGGAGGGTGGGGACGCTCACCTCCACGTGGCCGTTGAGGGCAGCGTGGTGCAGGGCCGTGCGGCCGCCCCGGTCGGAAACATTGACACTGCTCAGCAGGGGGATGATCACCTCCGCACACCTCACGGCCTTGTTGGCAGCCGCCACGTGCAGTGGGGTCTGCCAGTTCTTGTCCCTCGCGTTGACGTCAGCCGAGTGCTTAATCAAGACTTGCACCGCCTCCTGCAACCAAAGCAGAGTGCGCAGGGGTCACAGACAGATGCCTGATCAATACTCCTTGGGTGTGAGCTGTCTCACCAGACCCCCAACCACAGAGAGAGGTGGCTCCTGCCCTGGCAGCTGGCTTCAGAGGGGGGATCTCCTGTGACAAGCAAAACGAATGGGAGATAAAGATCCAGAGTGGTGTGGATCAAAACAGACTCCCTGCACGTTTCTTGGTTAGGCCAAGGGCCCTGGCCCGGTCCCAAAACCAAATACATCTTCTGAGGATAAGGTTTCCTTGTAAGGTATCAGGTGTTTTGGGCCAAACAAGAGCACCCATGTGCAAGTGTGCACATCTGGGTGACAAATCCTTCGGCCAAAAGGCCCCCTGAGTTCATCTGAAGTCGGAGGTGTTCGTTGATCAGTATCCCTCTTCCCAAGCCAAGGCCTCCAAGCCCTTCAGACATTTTTGGATCAATTTATAAATCTTCAGTGCTCTCGGCCAACCCCCACTCTGTGGTCGATAAGCAGTGAAGCAAAGAGAATGTCCGTTACTATCGCAACCTGAAGCTACACAAGTGTCTTCCCCATGTGACAATGGGGTGGTTTCTTTTCTACCATCGAGTTCCTTCACCTTTCCTGAGCCTCCCACTTTTCACTTTCCTTCTGTTGACCTCGTCAGTTAGTTTGCCTCTTGAACTTCACCTCTACCTTGCTGTGCAGTGAACCCGCCTGGGGAGCCCTTAAAAATAGATGCCTGGTCCCACCCCGGGGGTCTAGCTGGCCTCAGGCTCTCGGTGACGCTGCCTGGGGACCTGGTTACGCAGCCAGGACTGGAGACGCCGCTGCTGAATCAAGCGAATGATGCAGCATCTCTGGAAAGGTGAGGCTGTGGTTGCTTCTCATTTCCAGGGACATCCTTGGGAGCAGTGAATGGAGCTGCTTTATGGGCATCTTACCAACGTGTCATCCATGAACCAGTGAAAGGCATTAGTCTCATACTCCTGCACCCTTCATGGCCAAGTGCTCTCCTCTGTCCACCCTGATCCCCATAGGCCTGGAGCCACCAGGCTGCGTCATCAGGCAAGTATATGCAAATATATAGAAGACAATTCGAACTCTCAAGATTAATACTTTCATCGGGGACATAAATGATAAAATAAAAAGAATGTTCCACGAATTCAGTACATGTGGAAGTGAATGGCTAACTGAGTAGAATGAGAGCAAAAAGAAATTAACTTTGCAAATGAGAGAATCTAGTTTAAAGAAATCGTGTAACTCCATTTAAATGCTATAAAGACAGGGTAATAAGCTGATAGTGCCTAAGTAAGCAATTTGTTAAGATTACCAAAAAGGGAAGGAAAGACAGACAATAAAATAATCATTGCTAAATAATCCTTGAGCCCATTTCAGAGCAAAACATGTGTACCGATTATGCTCACATACTGTGGGAAACATGGCTAGAACTATGGAAGGTTGAGAGAAATATTATCCAGGTAGGTTCTAAACTAAAAACTAGCTGAGTGCATAAAAAATAAATCAAAAGGAAAGCTCAATCACAATAAAGCATTAACATTTTAGTTAGAAAAATGATATTTTTATCAACTTTGTTCTCTTAAATATGGAGGTTTAAGTGGGAAGAATACAGTCCCCCTCCCCCAATGCATCATGATGTGGGAAGAAAATGTACTGGAACCTTCACTCACATTTGTTTTCTTTTAAAAGAAGAGCATTTCGCCAAGACCAGTTTGGCTCAGTGGATAGAGCGTCGGCCTGAGGACTGAAGGGTCCCGGGTTCGATTCCGGTCAAGGGCATGTACCTTGGTTGCGGGCACATCCCCGGTGGGGGGTGTGCAAGAGGCAGTTGATCAATGACTCTCTCTCATTGATGTTTCTAACTCTCTATCTCTTTCCCTTCCTCTCTATAAAAAATCAATAAAATATATTTTAAAAAATAAAAATAAAAAATAATAATAAAATAATAAAAGAAGAGCATTTCAGCTGGCATTTAACTTCTGAGTTGGCGCTGTGCCCTCGGTCAGCTCTGCCGAGAATCTGGCCTCATAGGGGGAAGAGGGGGGCACTCACAGTATTGAGGGGGTGGGGTGGCCCTGGCTCCATTCATTCGCTGGGAGTGCCCCCAAAGGCAGAGTGAAGGGCCTGCCACGTCTGCTTACAGATTGCGAAATGTGCTCTTAAACTGGGAGCACCCTAAAAGAAGCAAGAGGTATGCAAGCAGCCCGTGTGACTAATGTGGAAGCCACAGAGCTGGCACTTCCGCTCCGGAGAAAGCTTTCCATCACCTGCATTACCAGGTAGAAGTAATGACAGATTTAATCAGATCTGACAGGCGCTTGGCCAACGCAGGAAAGCCATCAGAAGTCTATTACCTCCCTGGGTCATGGGAGAGCTGGTAAATGAAGAGCCTCCCCCGGAGTCTATTGAGCCTTGAAATATGACAGCCGTTCAGCACATGATTTATCAATAAATGAGATGCACATTTTGAAGAGGCATGCTGGAAAAATTCTGCAGATAGATGGCCAAAAAGATCAAAGATAATCATCTCCAAGCAATGGGGTAAAAACTGCTGGTACAGTATGCTTTTTACACATTCAGAGCAAAATGACAACCCCTCCTGTCACTTTAATTCCTTTGCCTCGTGCATTGTTTTATTGCACTGGGACTCATTCTTGCTTTGCATTAAATAGTATGTAAATTAAGGACAGACTAACAAAACAAAATATACAAGAACACTTCACAAGTTTATACTTTTTTGGAGATAAGACCAGTGAAATCATTAGAAACTTGTTTCCTAAAAGTCACAAAATGTGATTACTTTTTTGAGTAACTAAGACTAGGGGAATGAGGTATTATCTTTAAGAGGTACTTCTTTTAAAGAAACATTTAGAAATGCATTTCACACAAAGCAACAGGTTACGCAAAGAAAATATGTATTTGAGTGTGTGTGGGGTTTGGGGGGGCTATATTCTTAAATAGGCAATACTTCTAAAAATATTTTATCACAGATCATGTTGGTCTGTTTTTATAAATAAAGTTTTATTGAAACAACCTCATTCCCTGTTTACATATTATCTTTGGCTGCTTTTGAATGGTGACAGCAACGTTGAACATTTGTGACTGAGACTTCATGCAGTCTTGGAATACTCGCTAACTGGCCCTTCATGAAAGAAGTCTAGCTCCTTGTTTAAATTACTGCACTCCCCACTGCTCAGAGGGCACCTTACTGCCTCCACTGTCAGCCTCACCTCCACCTCACCCCACGCTCCAGCTGCATCCACCCGAGCCCGCCTTCCACTCCCCGCTGTGCCTCTTCTCCTGCAGCATCTTCCTCCACCACTCGGCCCTCTCTGGCCCTCTCTGCTCCTGCCGGCAAGTCCCTGCTCATCCTCAAAGGACTGGCTCGGCCTCGCTTCTCAACTCGGAAGGCGTCCTCTCTTCAAGCAGTCCTTTGTTTCCTGCTCCATTCCGTTCTGCTGTCATACTGATGCGCTAACCTGTGTGTCTCCCACTCCGGACAGAGAGCTCACTGAAGTCACGGACCATGCAGCCCACCTTGGACACTCCCTCCTCCCCTCACCCCCAGTCCTGCGCCTGGCACTCAGCTGGCACTCAAATCAACAGCGGTTCATTGCTGGCCACCCTCTAGCATGAGAAGCAAAAGCCTGGAGCTCACCAGTGAGAATCCCACTTCAGCAGAGAGAAGGTCTCTCTTCCGAGGGACTGAAGGTGGTAGGTTACTCCGACAGCCACTCACCTCACTCCTGGAGGCCACGGCCCGGTGCAGCGGGGTCAGCCACATGTTGTCCTTGGCATTCACACGCGCCCCTGGAACCAAACAGCACAGGTCAGAGGCACAATGCAGCAGGGTGAGGGAGGTAGTCTCCTGAGGTCACGTCAGATGCCATATCTTGCGCCCCCATTTGCCCCGTACAATCACCATGCTGCGTTTTGTTTGTCCTTGTATCGGTCCCGTGCTTTCTGGCAACTGCACAAGAGGAGACCGCAGGACTGCAGAGGAGCGAGATCAAGAACTGAGAATGTCCAAGAACTGGCACAGACCCGGTGAGAAATCCAGCATCCCAGGGGGTAGGAGACACAGTGGTGAGAAGACAGATTCTCCAGGGCTGTGGACATGTGTGTTCTGAGGAATGAGGACTTTTCCTCTGTGTGTGTGTGTGTTTGTGTGTGTGTGTGTGTGTGTGTTCCCCAAATAGAATGTATATTCCTGAATAAAATATATAATCAGAGAAAGTATTTTCTATTTAGTGATCAAGCATTTTTATCTCATGGGGCACACAACACCCTCTCGGCAAACGGTCAAGGACAAGCAGCCTTCCAACTAGTGTGCACGAGGGCCAGTCAGCTTCCAAACACACATCGGGTGAAGCTGAGTTCTTTTTTGTTTGTTTGTTTTTTCATTTCTGATTAAGGTGTTACATATGTATCCTTATCCCCCATTGCCTCCCATCCTCCCCCACTCATGCCCTCATCCCCCTGATGTCTGTGTCCATTGATTAGGCTTATATGCATGCATACAAGTCCTTTGGTTGATCTCTCCCCCTTACCCTCCCCCTCCCCCACCTTCCCTCCAAGGTCTGACGGCCTGATCGATGCTTCTCTGTCTCCGGGTCTGCTTTGTTCATCAGTTTATGTTGTCCATTGACGGGATTTCGTCTGGACTGAGAGGGTCCATGGAAAGCTTTATCCAGGAATCCCCATTCTGTCTCTGGGACTGGCAGGTGTTTTGGTGGGAATGAGCCAGCCTCCATGGAGCACCGGGGCAGACCAACAGAGAGCCTGTGTGGGCTGCACACGGCTCCCTCACACTGTGGGGAGACAGGCTCCTTCACTGTGGGGGACAGTCAGGCTCACACCAGCCAGAGCCAGCTCACATTCCCTGGAGCCACCTCCATCATGGGGCAGACTCCTCAAACGAATGGAGTCAAGGACAGCAGAAACGGCCCTCCTTCTGTGATACCCTCACAATTCTCACCGGGGCAAGCCCTCCAGGTCTACCGTTGAACTGATAAACACCCCATCGGCACGATCTGTGTGACTCAGTGGTTGAGCTTTGACCTGTGAACCAAAAGGTCACAGTTCAATTCCCAGTCAGTGCACATGCCCAGGTTGTGAGCTCGATCTCCAGTGTGGGGCGTGCAGGAGGCAGCCAATCAATGATTCTCTCTCATCATTGATCTTTTCCTCTCTCCCTCTCCTTTCCTCTCTGAAATCAATTTAAAAATATTTTTAAGAAAATTATTTTTTTAAATAACCCCCCATCTGAGCTTCCTTTTCAGGGGGCTTAGGGGTTTTGATCAGTCTTCTGATCAGAGATGGAAAGTTTTGTTAAAAGGGCTACTAAAGAGGAGCAGCCAGAGAAAATGTCATCATCTGCCGATGCAGTGAGGTGAGACTATTTTGGCCTTCGGAAGAGGAAGGAAGCTGGTGAGGAAGAAGAGTGAGGACATGAGCGAGGGGGGAGAGGAGGGGAGGTGGGGTGTGGTGCCTCTGGGGAAGGCTGAGTCAGAAGGCAAGTAGAAGCAGGGCTGCCCAATCTCTGGGAGGCCATGGCCAGCTGACAGCTTAAAATTACTTGTGTTTTCATGTGTGTGTTTTTTAAAAAGGCACCAGGTGACAATGCGCTAGAAATTTAGTTTAAGATACCAGCTAAAAGGAAATAAGAAATCACAGAACTTACACAATCTTTTTCTCTTTATCTGAAGGACAAATACCATCAACGATATTAATTATAGAAAAGAACATAATAATCCCTAAAACCAAGAGATAGACTCCTTTACTCCCACCTCCCACCTCCTACCTCATACCCCCCATCTAATTTCATTGGTTTGAAATGGGGCCAGGCACATGTATACTTTAAAATGTTTTCCTTGCCGTAACTGGTTTGGCTCAGTGGGCAGAATGTCGGCCTGCAGACTGAAGGATCTCAGGTTGAATTCTGGTCAAGAGCATATACCTTGGTTGTGGGCACATCCTCAGTGGAGGGTGTGCAGGAGGCAGCTGATTGATGTTTCTCTCTCATCGATGTTTCTAAGTCTCTCTCTCTCTCCCTTCCTCTCTGTAAAAAATAGAATAAAATATATATTTTAAAAAAATAAAATGTTTCCAAATATATTTTTTATTGATTTCAGAGAGGAAAGGGGAGGGGGGAGAGAAGAGAGAGAGAGAGAGAGAGAGAGAGAGAGAGAGAGAGAGAGAGAGAGAGAGAGAGAGAAACATTGATGTGAGAGAGATACATCAACTGGTTGCCTCCTGCCTGCCCCACATTGGGGACCGAGCTGAAATCCTGGCATGTGCCCGAACCATGAATCTAACTGCAATCTCCTGATTCAGAGGTTGACAGTCAACCACTGAGCCACACCAGCTGGCTCTGGGGAGCTTTGAAGGTATACTTTTGGCCCAGCCAGCGTGGCTCAGTGATGTTTCTACCTCTCTCTCCCACTTTAAATATCTGGAGAACCACTTTGTAAAATATATGATTCTTGAGCCACTAGGCTGTACAGCTGAAACTAATACAGAATAATATTGAATACAAATTGTAATTGAAGAAAAAATTGAGTTGACTGTTTTGAATGACAAAATTCACCAGTTGCAAAATAAAATAATTCAGGAAGTTGAAAAAAAAAAAACTATTAGGGAGAGGCAAATGACAGCCACATTAGCATACCATGGCACACCCATCCAGTTGGTGAAAATTACAGTCTGACAATGCTACGAGTTGGCAAGAGTGAGGAGCGTCAGGAAGGCTTGCGTACAGAGGGTGGGAGTGTGGCAGGTGTAGCCCCTTTGGGAGGCAATTTGGTTCCACCTGGTAACACTGAACAAATGAAGTTGCAGAGTAATGCCTATGGCATAATACCAGTCACATACAGCTTTTAAATTTGCAAAAGTACTTCTGTATGTTGTTTACAGATGCACAGGCAGGAAGTAAAAGTAGCAGCTACGGCTAAAGTAACCAGCATTCTCTGGAGTGGGTGCTCTGGGGAGGAGGGTCGGGGAAAAGGAGGAGTAAGCACAGCCAATGGGCTGCAACTGTGTCTTCCATGTTTTCTTTCCTTTAAGAAAGGATCCGATGCAAATATGGCCACTTTGACTTCATAAACCTTGGTGTACGTGGGTATTAGTTATATTGTTTTCCACCTTTTTCAATATATTAGAAATAGACAATGTTTTTAAGAGAGCTAACATGTGAAGTTTAATGTTTCTTAATAAAATGGGGGACGGGTGGTAACTTGCTTTTTTTTACACTATTTTATTCTTGGTCAGTGGCCCTTGATTAAAAAATGACACATCTGCCCTAGCTGGTTTGGCTCAGTAGATAGAGCATCGACTTGTAGACTGCAGGGTCCTGGGTTCAATTCCGGTCAAGGGCACATGCCAGGGTTCAATCCCAAGTGGGAGGCATGCAGGAGGCAGCTGATTAATGAATCTCATCATTGATGTTTCTCTCTCTCTCTCCCTCCCTCTTCCTGTCTGAAATCAATAAAAATACATTTTTTTTAAAAAAGGAAGAAGTACATGTCTTAAAAAATGACTCGTCCACTCTTTCCATAGAAAGTGGTCCCGCCCCCCACCCCCGCCCCCCGCAGTGTCCTCCCGGATTTTCCTGAGGTTCAGGCCAGGGGAATAAGGATAATAAACAGCAAGAGGCTGTTGGTGGGACAGTCCGACTGGAAAGGAATTTTCCAGCTGAGGATGTGTTCCCTGCGGGCGGCGTCTTCATGTTTCTCTCGTGCTCTCCTCCCTGCACAGCGGCTGGCCGGCCCCACATGCAGGCGCCCAGCTGCGGGGCAGACAGGCCGGGGAGCCGGCCAGGAAGGCGGTGAGGAAGCCACGCCGCACGGAGGGCAGCGCTCCGTCCCAGGGAACCTTTCCTTGACTCTCCAAATGCCATTCTGGTCCCGCCACGCTGTGACCCTAAGCAGCTCATCCCTGGAGCTCCATCCCCAGCCATCCGGCCAGGACACTCACGAGGGAGGGCAGGCTGCACCAGTGTCATCCGTGCCACCACAGGCAGAATGTTACCTTCAACCCCCCTCTCTTCCTTCCCCCTGCCCCTTCTCTTCTTTCCCCCTCCCCCCTGACATGCAGCCTGCTTCTGTCCTTGTGTGCGGCATTAGAAGGCTCTATATCATGTTTCTGAAGGAGATAACATTGAGTTATAACCATTGAAAATATTGCAAATCTGATTAGAGGAAAAATGGTATACTGTTTAACAGTGAGGTTGGTATCTGCTAATATGCTTGTCTCCTGCCCACTCATCATTCATTCTCCCAGAACTGCTCGTTCAGACGCTTTGCCTGCTTCCCTTATCCTTCTATTATCGTCTATAGGTATCTACACTGTGTTGTGATGAGAATTGTTATTTATATATTCCGAAAACTTTCCGTTTTTTAATATTAAAAGATCCAAGTATGGCTTTTAATATTAAAATTCTCTCAAAGAGAAAAATGACCCTGAGCTGGCTGAGCTCATAAAGCAATCCCCCTCACTCCCCTTAGGTAGCACACCCCGGCATTGCTTCCCTGTGCTCCAGGCACTGAAGCTCATCACAGAGCGGGGACGGCCTTCTCCCGGTCCCGCTGGGTCCCCGTCCCTCCACTCGTCCTCCAGGAAAGCTCCGCTCCCGGCAACGGAGTTACTATGACAAACGCAGAGCTATCTGAATGGGGACCGGCAGCACTTCATCAGTGTCATCCCTGCCCCTGGCTTCCTCGCCTCTTTCCGGAACACCTCCAGCCTTGTTTAAGGTCAGCGGGAGCCGGAAGATGGCTGAGTATTTATAACTGGTTTTTCTCAAGGAAGCTCCCCGTTACGTTCTTGCCCATCAGGCACCACCACGGGGCACTGAAGGCACAGCGTCTGCATGCCGAATCACTTAAAGGCAGACGCCCTGTACCCAAGGACATCTGAAAGCTTACATTATTATTCTTTAAAGTAGGGGTGTCGAACTCAATCAGAGAAGGGGCCAAAATCTAAAATCCAGCCTAAATCGCGGGCCGAATGGTTTACTGAACAGTCATAAACTGTCATTGTGATGGAAATGCAGCGGAGTGCAGTGATGACAGCGCGGTGCGGGCCACATTGCAAGGCCTGGCAGGACGGATTTGGCCCGCGGGCCTTGTGTTTGACACATGTGCTTTAAAGGATAGGCGCTCCTGATTCTTCAGAAATGAAGATCCAGCTCACAGCTGTCAGGCCTGAACCCTGATGGCGAGTTAAGTGTGCTTTTCATCGCACCCCTATTACCACCTGATTTTATGTTCACGGAGAGCAGGGCGCTCTCTGAGCACCTTTTCCAGAGGCGACATGTCTGTTCTCTTAGTCCTGTCGTCTAGGAAAAGGTAGAACGAAGGCAAAAGGTAGACGAGGGACTGAAAGCGCTTAGAGGTCAAAGAGGATAACGGATTCTAAAGGCTGGTGTATCTCAAGTTTGGCGTTTAACTACAGAAACAAGCAAGTATAAACCAAAAATCATACGAAGTATGACTAGAATATAATGAAATCAGCTTGTTATGGGTTTTTTCCACGCAGAGACCTAATCTTATTACAGCCCAGGAGCAGTGTCCTTCAAAGCAATGACCTTGGAAGCGTGTGTGATAATCCCATGATGAGGCAACTGCTCAGAGCATCTTCAGCACTCCCCTTGGATTTGCCGTTGGAGCTGGTTAACATGCCCACCAAGTGATGGCTCACCCTTGATAATCACACCACCGAGGGGGGCAAAACTAGCACTGCCTGGTTTAATCACCTTCACCTTTTGAGGGTGGAAAACACATACACACACACACACACAAACCGAATCCAACCTGAAGGGATGAGTATGCGTTATGCATAAGAGCATCAAAACAATGACCTGCGTGGCTCAGGAGACAATTGGTGTTGGGAGCAGAAATCACATTTTGAAAAATCACAGGAAATCCCTTTACCGGAACACCCCCTGTTGGGCGGCCTACATGCAAATGAACTTAATATTTTGAATTCGTACTTACACCTCACACATCCCAGGCTGGAGGGTGAGGATTCGGTGTTCTTCCTCCAGCCCAGGGCTCTAACCCGTGTGCATCCCAGTTTCTCTACAGCTGTTGCCACTGGGGTTGTGTTCCTGGGCGCTCTGCTTCCTACACGGCAACCTTGTCCCTTAACTCATCCACTCACTGGTTCAGGTTGGTCTCATGCATGCAGCTCTGGGCAACAGCAGAGACCTTCTCTCTGACTTGAGCCTGACCAGGCCAGTTCCCAAAGAGAAGCGAGAGTCAGGTGGGGAATTAAAGCCAGAATCCGCTCTGGCGGTTACAGGAAGGGGGGTGTTGTAAGGCCTGTTCCTCTCTGTCTGTTCAGGGGCCTCGGGGCTCCATCCGCCTGGCTAATGGGAGACAACCTCGGGAGGAATTAATGGAGTTGGGTTACACTGCACTCCGCAAGTTAATAACAACAATAGAGAACACAGCTGTAATGGGCCATTCTGGCAAAGCCAAATCATTTGTCCAACATGGGAATCATTAACACCTCATTCATTATGAGGTTGGAGAAGAGTTTGGGTGGATTCCCTAAAAGGGCCAGCTGCCAGATGAAAGCTCAGAGATTAAACTGTCCTGCTCTTACAGTGACAATTCTTTAGGAAAATAAAATGCAACTGGGTATAGGACTTCTAAGAGCAAACTAAAGCCATGCTGATTCCAAGCGTTTACCTAAAGTTTCCACAAATGAGTAAAATGTCTAAAGAACTTTCCCAATGCTCTCTCAGGCCCTAAATCTTTCCAATTTGATGGGGGTGAGGAAATTCCATGGCATGTGCCACCCAAAATTATACTAGAGAGGTTAACAGCTCAGAATTCCAAGACAAGGAGGTGTACAGATCAAGATATACTCTCCAGGCTCCCCTGAATGAGCCACATGTAAGAGCAGCTGGCTCTAACTGGTTTGGCTCAGTGGATAGAACATCAGCCTAAGGACTAAAGAGTCCCGGGTTTGATTCTGGTCAAGGGCACACGCCTGGGTTGTGGGCTCAATCCTCAGTGTGGGGCATGCATGAGGCAACTGATCAATGATTCACTCTCATCACGGATGTTTCTCTCTCTATCCCTCACCTTTCTCTCTGAAATCAATAAAAATATATTTTTTTAAAAGATCAGCTGGTGGATTACATGCCTCGTGAAGGTGATGAGGCACCTAAGGAAAACAGAGGGTCAACCTCACGCTGCGGAATTAAAACCTTCCCTTCCAGGTATGAAAAACAGACGGAAACCATGCTGGGGTCCAAGACAAAGTTCTGAATTCGCACATTCATGAACCTGACGTTTTTCTGAGACTCCGAGGTGTCTCTTCACACAATATTTGGATGGTGAGTACAGCCAGTTGGGACCATTAGGTGTCATACCACAAAGTTCTTTACTTTACCCCCCACTGGTTTCCGCCAGGTTTTCCATGGGCCAAGTCTCTCTTGCTGGGGCAGCCAGCCAGGTGCATGCTGGCTCTGAGCCCTGGTCCGTGCCAACACCGAACAATGCGTGTTTGTTTGGCCTACAGCCCTGGAACATCTCGGAACCGTCAGAGGAGGCCTGCTCTCAAGAACAGAAGGACGCCACCCAGGCTCCCGCCAAGCTCCAGGCAACGGTCAGGAGCGCAGGCTGCACAGCGAAGGCACAGAGCACGTGTGTCCGGGAAAGCCCACCTGGAAGGGGACACCACACAAGGAGGGCAGTGAAACCTTCCTGTGTGTCCAGCACAAATTATTGTTAATCCTCACCCAAGGATATTTTTTCCAATGGTCTTTAGAGAGAGAAGAAGGAAGGCTGAAGGAAGGAGAGTAAAACATTGATGTGACAGAGAGACATCCATTGGTTGCCTCCCACATGTGCCTTGACCAGAATCAAACCTGTGTCCCTTCAGTCCACAGGCAACGCTCTAACCATTGAGCCAAACCAGGCAGGGCTCCCAGCACAATTCTTGTCTCCTTCACACAATGCCCTCCACATCTGCTTAAACACCTGCATCAGCTCCCACCCGTGTGCAGCTCGCTTTGGGTTCTACAGTTCCCTTTGCCACTGCAAACAAAGGCCGAGCCTCAGTGCAGGGGCATTTCCTCCAGGTTTTAATCTGCCAACAGAAGGCTGGAGGAAAGGCAGCGGGTCTGCACGTGATCCACACCGGGATGCGTGCACGTGCTCAGACTCATTCCCGGGCCTTGTCTGGCAAACGCTCCCGGCGGAGAGCACATGCTGACTTCAGAAACCTGCTCCGTGGGATGTACCACACACAGGTTTCCAAAAATGGAAGCACTGGCATTTTTAACTCACATAAAATACTTAAAATCCAGAGAAAAATAAAGAGAATATTTATATGACTAGTGCACCTGCAAATCAGACTGAACACATCTGCCATATTTGCTTCCAATTTTTAGAAAACAGAATACTTAACACGGTTGTAATCTCTTTTGCGCCCTTCCTAAAAAACACCCCTCACTCAACCTGCCTCCTCAGACGGGGAGTTAACCACTGTCCAGAAATCAATGTTTCCTTTCCTTTCGTGTTTTTATATTTTTACTAGAGGTCTGATGCATGAAGATTCGTGCAAGATTAGGCCTTCCTTCCCCTGGCTGCCGGCACCAGCTTCCCTCCAGCAGCCAGGACCCAGGCTGCTTCTCTCCTGCCACTGCCAGGCAGCCAGGACCCGGGCTGCTTTGCTCCAGCCGCCACTGCCACCCACCGGGGGTGGGCTCCAAGCCACACCGCGGCCACTCAGAGCATGCCCCACCCCTGGTGTGTGTGTGCTGGGGCTGGGGCAGCACACAGTCCCCTCCCACCCATCTGTGTGCACAGCTCTGCCTGAGCCGGTGGCGGTGTAGCCTCTTCCTGAGTCATGACAACCAGCTAATTTGCATATTACCACTTTCTATATAGAGATTACATGACCACAGTCATAAGTCCATAAGCAGAACAAAGCATTGTTTTGCAGTGAATTCAGATCTATGTACACACACACACACACACACACACACACATTTGTGTCTGTTCATGCAGACACTAAGGAACCAGTTTGCTTGTTTGTTCTTTTGTAAAGACATCCAAATACGCTGGATGCACCTACCGTGCTGGGCTTAAATAGGCAGTCAGGAATCAGATTTCCAAATTGCACATAAGTTTTGCTGGAGATGTACTTTTTTTTTTTTTTACAGAGAGGAAGGGAGAGGGGTAGAGAGTTAGAAACATCGATGAGAGAGAATTATTGATCAGCTGCCTCTTGCACAACCCCTACTGGGGAAGTGCCCGCAACCAAGGTACATGCCCTTGACAGGAATCGAACCCGGGACCTTTCAGTCCGCAGGCCGACGCTCTATCCACTGAGCCAAACTGGTTTCGTGGAGATGTACTTTTTCAATAAGAACTATTTCTTGTGCTCTAGCTGGTGTGGCTCAGTGGATAGAGCGTCAGCCTGTGGACCAAAGGGTCCCAGCTTCGATTCCAGTCAAGGGCACATGCCCAGGTTTGGGGCTCGATCCCCAGGAGGCAGCCAATCAAGGATTCTCTCTCATCACTGATGCTTCTATCACTCTCCCTCTCCCTGCCTCTCTGAAATCAATAAAAATACATATTTTTTTAAAAGAACCACTCCTTGCACTTTTTACACATTTACCGACAAAATCGCTAATCGAAGACACTTCCATGAGCCCCATGAAGAAACTGTGTTTGTGTTCCTTAGCGTGGTCACTGGAGTAAGCGGGTCGCTGACAGTTTTGTGTGGTGACTGTACGCACAGCTGGCACTTACCTGAGAGAATCAGCAGCTCGATGATCTCGGCATCGCCCAGGAACGCGGCCACGTGCAGCGGAGTGCGCTTCTCCGAGTCCTGCAACCAGGGTGACAGTAAGCATCAGTGTGGCTGCAGGCGCGGCTGGGAGACAGAGCAGGACAACACACTTCGAAGCTCACGCTTGGGAGGGAGGGAGCGAAGGCCAAACACCTCCTCAGGCGAGTTCCCTCAGCTGACACATGTCCCTCAGCATCTCCCCCAGGTGCATGCACACGAGATCCCACTTTCTGAGTCTGTGTCCTGTTGGCCTCGCTCTCCTGCTAAGGAAGGTCAGCTCCGGTCAAGGATGGTCCATCATGCACTGGATGACGGAACTGGATTTATTTGTAAGCCTTCAGTAATGGCTAAAAAAACACATATCTGAACCATTCTACCTACTACCTGAACTGCATAGCTCAAAGCTTTCCATGATTTGTTTTCTTTCTGGAGTTTTTCACAAGGACATTGAACATAAGAACCATCATTTTCTCCTTTCCCTCTCCATTAGCTGTGGACTACACACCTTCCATTCACGTAATACGTATTGAATGCCTACTATGTGCCAGGAACCCATTTGTGGTGACAGAAAAGGGACTGTGAAAGGCCCAGTCCCTGCCTTTCATGGAACTTACCTTTAAGCGGGAGGCCAATAATAGCCATGAACACAAATAGTCATGGACACAGTAAGATCATTTCAGATGGTGATAACAACAATACAACAGGGTGATGGGACCAAGTCACTGGGAAGATGGGAATAAAATTCCCTAGAGTGCTCAGGAAAGGCCTGTCTGAGGATGCTGACAGTGAGGGCTAAGTAGACACTGTTAGTTCTGTTTTACAGATGAGAACCTGTGGCTCAAATAAATGATGAAATTTCCTCAAGACCCCATAAGTGCATAACAGAGCCAAGCTGAGCTCTTCCCACTGTACATCCTTGGCAAGGCCTTCAACACACTGTGCTCAGAGGCAGTACAATAACATGGGGGGTGGGGGGGGCCTGCTTCCCCATCTGTACTTCAAAGATAGCAATGCCTCCCTTAGGGAGCTGATAAGAGAATACAAGGTGATGCAAGTCAACAAAGCCCAAGCAGCACGAGGCTTGGCCATGCACAGCCAGTGCTGCGTCAGAGCCATCAGTGCCATTAGCACAGACACTCCTGTGACACCTTCCCGCCAGGCCTGAGAACTCTCAGGACCAAGACCAGGTCTCATGCCCACTTATCTCTAAAGCAGCAGCACACCAGGTGCTCAGAGGAAACTGGCCAGACCGACGGGTCTGCGTGCACTGTCTCCCCGCAAACATCCAGCCCCCGCGCTGTAACAGTGGTCACCAAAGTCTGGATGCCGCCTTTGAGGTTTCTCCTAAAACTAGCCTGTGTTTTCGAGTCCAGAGATTCATGGATTCATGATGAATCTTCACCATCCTCCCTGCGATGACCTGATGATACAAGCCACCTCACAACCCTGCATGAGGCCAAGGAGATTATTCCGTTTCTGACAGCTCAGCCCTCTGCTCTTCCATACTAGTGCTTTAGGCACTTCCTGACTCACTAACACCTAAAACAGATGGCAGGCAGGGGACACAGCAAGAGCTGATCTCCAAACAGTCTATTTGTCAGGAGGTCTGGGAAACAGGCTTTATGAAGGGATGGACTAACTTCTAAGCAGATAAAAAGAGAAGTCTGGCCAGGCCAGTGTGGCTCAGTGGGTTACAGCGTCGTCCTGTGCCCCAGAAGGTCACAGGTTCGATTCCCAGTCAGGATATGTACCTGGGTTGCAGGTTCGATCCCCAGCACCAGCCGGGATACATACAGGAGGCAACCAATTAGTGTCTCTCTCTATCTTCTTCCTCCCTTCCTCCCTAAAATCAAGTGTCTGTGTGGGGGGGGGGGGGGGGGGGGGGGGGGGGGGGGGGGGGGGGGGGGGGCGCGGATATCCTCAGTGAGGATAAAAGAAAAAGAGGAGTCTGCATTAGCTGGGGATGTATGTTGTTGACGTATGCTGTAAGTAATTACTAAGTGGTAAGTGGAAATCGGGCAGTCACACAACTGTTCCATATGAAACAATGGCACGCCATGGAAAATTCATTCAGTAAGATACACAACTATGGCTTGCCCTCTGATCTCTAGATCACCCTTTCAGTGAAAATAAAGCTTCAGTATTGGAAAACACATTTGCTCATTTGAGAATCCAGTGTACTAACTGGTGTGATGGATTACACAAGTCACCAAGACCAGACTTCCACAAGTGTTTTCCATTTCTGTTTCTGCTGGTGAGATGGCTACAGGCACTTCCCATGTCAGCCTCATAGTCCCTTCCAATCACCGCTATCGCCACCAGAACATTCCTGTTGGGTCTTGGGATAAATGTATATAATTACACGTTCCCCTGTGAATTGAACTGGTTGCAGGGTTTGGTTCAACAAATTAGACCTTACCTAAGTGATTTCAACAAGGGCTAACTCAACCCAGATATGACTTCATTTGACCTGAAGCACAGTCAGTGCTCTGTTGAGAATGTGACCTCCAATAAAGCCAGGAACACCCTCATATCTAAACCTGCTGGCCTATTATTATATGCCTGGCCTTGCCGATTTTGTGGCCCCTTTTATGACACCTTTATAACATGGCTTGTTGAAACCAAAGATTTTATAGTATAAAATGGGTGTGTTCTGTGAGATCACATTGTAAAAATTTTTTATCGTTAAATCCCAGTGTCCCTATTGCTATGCATTTAAAAGTTTCCTACAGCTACTAGGACATCTATGCATTTCCATTACTTTTTAAATATATATTTATATTGATTTCATAGAGGAAGGGAGAGGGGAAGAGAGATAGAAACATCAATGATGAGAGACAATCATTGATAGCTGCTTCCTGTATGTCCTTTACTGGGGACCGAGACCACAACCCGGGCATGTGTGCTGACCAGGAATCGAACCATGAACTCCTGGTTCATAGGTTGGCACTTAACCATTGAGCCACACCGGTCAGGCTACGCATTTCTATTACTGACCAAGAGTTGCTGACACCTGCTCTCTTGCAGGCACCTGAATGATGAACGGAATCATGGATCAAGGGCGGACTCAGAGCCACAGTCATCACCATGCTCCATTGGGTGAGACTGTCCAGCAGTTTGCAGTTCATCGCTGCCTCGGTTGAAGGCCGCTCTGCTTTGTCCTAAGCCAGACAAATGGAGTAGGAGGTGCAATGACAGGAGAAGGAGGGAGGTCCCGGGGAAAGAGGGTACTAGTAATAACACTGGTGAAAATCGGTCCTAGGCCAGTGATAACCTAGGGCCATGGTCGGCAAACTGCGGCTAGTGAGCCACATGCAGCTCTTTGGCCCCTTAGTGTGGCTCTTCCACAAAATACCACGGCCTGTTTTGAAGAAGTGGCATTAGAAAAAGTTTAAGTTTAAAAAACGTGGCTCTCAAAAGAAATGCCAATCGTTGTCCTGTTGATATTTGGCTCTGTTGACTAATGAGTTTGCTGACCACTGCTCTAAGGCATCTAGAAGAAACAAAACCTACCTGCTAATCACAGAGTGCTTTCAATTTTTTTTTTTCCAAAATGCCTTTTTATCTATTCTTCTACTTAACTCACATAACATCCCTATCAGGGGAGACACATGTTTCAGGAAAGTCTTATTATCACTATTAAAAGAGAGAATCTGAGCCCTTGCTGGTTTGGCTCAATGGACAGAGTGTCAGCCTGCAGACTGAAGGGTCCCCAGTTTGGTTCCCATTAGGGCACATGCCCAAGCAGTGGGATTGATTCCTAGTAGAGGGTGTGCAGGGATTGGCAGTCAATGATTCTCTCTCATCATTGATGTTTCTCTCCCTCTCCCTTCCTCTCTGAAAATAAGAACATATATTTAAAAATAGTAAGAAATAAAAGAGAAAATATGAGCCCTTGAACTGGGTTGTATGACTTGCCCAGCACAGAGAACATGTTAAAAAAAAAACAAAAAAAAAAACTGGGTGTCCTGGCTTCCTGTCTGTATCTGAAAACTGACCTAACAGTAGCTTCTGGATCGAAGTTAGAAGCCAGGACCAGCCACGATGCTCTCAGCCTCAACAGAGTGGCCAAGTGCTCCCTGTATCGGCTGTCCCCTCCTCTGCTGCCAATGCGCCCTCTGTGATCACCACACTGGTGAATGATCATGTGGCTCTTCACACCGCCCAGGACCCAAGAGGAGACAAGACTTCCAACACAGGCACGGTAAGACCAGCACCCACTGCAGAGGGCGCACTGGAGTCGTTTTTAATAGACTGTTCAAGTGCCACCAAAAGAGAGATCTTTTTCTGTGACCCTGTACCTCCAATTCCAACAGCCCTTTGCAAACAGACCCAGGAGAAGGCCCAATTTCTCCAGAAGGAAGGAAGGTAAACCCTCCCTCTAAGACTAGCCAGGGACACACACAGCCCGTTGGCGTCTGAGCTACATGTGCAGTGTCAGGGAGAGATCAGGCCGAGGAAGTGTCTGCCATCTGTTTACCAAGGAAGCAGATGAAAGAAAACAGGGAACTTGAAGTATATACACGTGCAGTGAGCCTGACGTGGGCAGGCAGTTTAGTCTGGCAGCTACGCGTCATGTGCAGGCTGAGGGGGGACTGAGCCTTTGTTTTTAAAGATGAAGAATTGTTTATTACACGCTTTGGAGACTCTCTGAAGTGCACGATCTAATCTTCACTGTAAGTATTTGTCGTGCGCTAAAACAAACATCCCTCCCTCCGTATAAACATCTTACGTACCAAGACAGACAGACGGAACGACGGTGAGAAAGCAGGTCTGCAAGGCCTGAAATGTGGCCGTTGCCATGGTCAGTGCAAGCACCCATTGGTATGGAAGGAGCAGGGGGCCCGACAAGCTTAGTGTGCTAACCAGCAGGTCACCCAGAGCAAGGCCATGTCTGAAGAACCTGACCCCAAAACAGGTTCCTTGGAGAGACTTCAAATAAGTGAGGAAAAGAAACGAAGACGCGGCATAGACTGAAGTCAAGCAAGAGGCAAATATGAAAGACGCTTGGTTTCAAGGTGGGGAATTAAAAGAAGTTT